AGGAGCCAGACTAAAATGTAATTGAGAAATGCTTAACAGAATGAATAAAAATACAATACAACATAGATAATGTTAATTTGGTTTTCTAAGACTCTGATTCTATTTCAGTTTGACACCACTGCTGTATAGCATCAAGAAGACGGTGCCTTGAAAGGTCATGAGCCTTGAAGGAGCCCTGGGTGGTTTAGCCCAGGAGAAAAGAAGATTTGGGAAATGTGATAGCTGGCTCAAAGTATTTGGAGGCTGTCCTATGAGAAAGGGATCCTCCTTGTCCTAGGCCGCTGAGAGCAGAACTAGTGTTAGGAATAACTTTTGTTAGGAAAAACAAAGATTCTCGAGATAGATGAGGCGAGCTCATTTATTATATGTTCTTGCAAGAAGCAAGTGTATTAGGGGCAGCTAGGTGGCGCAGTGGATAGAGCACTGGCCCTGCAGCCAGGAGGACCTGAGTTCAAATGCACCCTCAGACACATGATACTCACTAGCTGTGTGACCCTGAGCAAGTCACTTAACCCCAATTGCCTCACTTAAAAAAAAAAAAAGAAGCGGATGTGCTGCTACAGGCAGATACACTCTACAGAAGCAAAAGCAAGCAGTTATATTCCTGTCCTGAAATGTAAGGTCCCTCCCTTGTTTGTCCATTGGCTGGATACTTCAAGGCGTACAACTTCCAGGAATGCCTACTTCGTATTATTCCTTAATGTTTTTCCCTCCCTCTACATACAACATTGTGCCTAAAATTGTGTTAATCTTCCCCTTGGGGAGGAGAAGATAATATTCATAGGCTCATTAAGCACTAGCAGTTTGAGCAATTTGTAACCTTTGTCCTACTTTCAGCGCTTTTAACCACACAACTAGTTTTGAAAAACAATTCTAAGTAAAACCACTCCTTTCACACCAATATTTGACTTTAAGACCATTTCCTCTGTGTCTGTGGAAACATAATTTCCTATACCTTATGCTAGGAACAATGAACAGAAGTTGTAAGGAGGCAAATTTAGGTGTCATTTTAGGAAAAACCTCCCAATAGACCTGTCCACAAATAGAAGGAGATACCTTAAGAGACAGTGGACTCCCCCTCATTAGAGTTCTTTTAGCAAAAGTTGATGCTGCCTATGTGGTAGAGGATTCTTTTTTGAGTTTGGCTTGGACTTATTGACCACTGAGGCCCTTTCCAGTTCTCAAGCTGTGATCCTCTAATTCCTTGAAAGATGTAACAGAGATAACTTGATCCAGCCATCTGATTATTCGTATCAAATGAGGCATAAAACAGGGTTCTGTATGCTCACTAAAGACATTTTTATGATCATGGAGGACATCCACCACAGAATCTAAGTGGAAAATTTCCTTTAAATGGTGGTCTTCCAGATGACTCTATTTTGGAATAGCATTGTTCCGATTGCATCAAAGCCCCAGATGTTGCAGAATCTCTTCAATTGGATCCAAACTCGGTCAAAGAAGTATTTAGTGCAATTATGTACTTAGCAAAAACCAAATAGATGAATTATGCTGAGTGGCCAGACTGTGATATTCAAGTACATGGGATAGCTGACAGAGCTGATCCTTCAGTAAGTGTATACATGATATGTGTGTGTGTATATATGTGTGTGCCTTGAACAGGTTGTGGGTGAAGAATGAATTGGCATCAGAATTAAATAAAAAGGTTTGCATTTGGAACATTGCACAGTTCTTTTAATGACCTGAAGCTTTTCCTTGAAACAAAGGCTTACCTTTTCAATACTAACAATCCAGTGTTAGGGTATAGCTATAAATCGTGGAAACCACAGTCTCTGAAGAATCAAAATTGTAACTCATCCAGAGGGAAATAAAGTAATGGTGGACATAAATAATACAGCAGCAAATTCCCAGTGAGGTTGGCTACTAGAAGTGGTGTCAAAGGTATGACCAGAAAAGGAGGTGGGCAGTTTGCATTACTGCCCAGCTAGCTGTGTAATGTCAAGAGACAAGACAGTGACTCGAAATGCACAGGATGAGAAGGCGTTAGAATCTCTACCATTGAAGGGACCACTCCCCCTAGTTGAGATAAATCAGTCTATCAACAAGCATTTAATAAGTGCCTTCTATGTGATAGGGTTTATGCTAGGCACTAGGGTTACAAAGACAAAAATGAAATAGTTCCTTCCCTCAAGAAACTTATATTCTGTTACAAGAAACCTCATGCACACAAATAAGTGTATACATGAGATATACAAAATAAATAAAGTGGTATGGGTGGGTGGGTGTAAAGAACGTGCAGGAAAGGCTTTATGTGATGGTAGTACTGGAATCTCAAGGGATCATAGGAATTCTAGGAGGCATAGGCGAGCAGGGAGTACTTGGCAGGCATGGGGGACAATGAATATAAAGGCATGGACATAGAATACAGAGTATTATTTGTGAGGAACTGCAAGTAAGCTAGTCTGGCTGCACCATTGAGTGCAGGAAGATTAGTAATATGTAATAACCCTGGAAAGGTAGGTTGGAGCTAGGTTACAAAGGGCTTTAAATGTCAAATATTTTATCCTCGAGACAACATTTAGCAACCAGAGATTAAGCAGAGGAGTGATGTGGTTAGATCTGCATTTTAAGAAAACTACTTTGGTAGCTGTATGAAGAATGAGTTGGGAGGGGTAAAGATTGAGGTAGAGACCAATTAGGCTATTGAAATAATCCAGGAGAGAGCTATGAGAGACAAAATTTGGCACTCAGTGGGGTGAGGAGGAGTGAAAGATCAAGGAAAAAACTAAGGTTTCAAAACTGGGAGACTGGAAGGAATAGTGGTACCTTCTCCAGAAAGAGGGCAATTCATAAGAGAGGCATTAATAATAGAAGATAATGAGTTGTTTTCAGGCACATTGAATTTGAAGTGTGTATGGGATTTATACTTCAAAATATCTAATAGGCAGTTAATATAGTCCTTGAGCTCAGGAGAGATACTAGGGCTGGATATGTAGATCTGGGAGTCTTCTGCACAAAGACAGTAACTAAACATGGAACCTGATGATGCCAGCAAGTGAGAGGGTGTAGAAAAAGAAGAGAAGATGGCCTAGAACTGTCTTGGGATTGCATGCACAGCTAACAGGTGTGGTAAGAAAGATGAGCCAGCAGAAGTGAGAGAAGAAAAGATGGCCTAGACAGGGGTGGGGAACTGGTGGCCTCGAGGCCATATGTGACCTTCTAAGTCCTCGGGTACGGCCTTTTAACTGAGTCCCAAGTTTTACAGAGCAAATCCTTTTGTTCAGGAGATTTGTTCAGTAAAGTTTGGATTCTGTCAGAGGGCCTCACTTGAGGACCTAGAGGGCCACATGTGGCCTTGAGGCCGCAGGTTCCCCTCCCCCGGCCTAGGACAAAACCTTGGGAATTCGTGCACAGCTAACAGGTGTAATAAGAAAGATGAGCCAGAAGAAAAGAGAGAAGCAGATGGGCAGGAGGAGAACCAAGAGAGGCAGTATCACAGAAACCAAGAGAAGAGAAAGCAGCAGCAGAAAGGGTCATCAACACTGCCGTCGCTGCAGAGAGATTGAAAAGCATGCTGACTGAGAAAAGGCCATTAGATTGGCGATTGAGAAGTTGTATATAACTTTAGAGAGAACAGTTTCATTTGAATATTGAGGTCAGACGCCAAACTGCAAAAGATTGAGGAGTGAATGGAAGAAGAGGCAGTAGAGGCATTGTGTCAGTAACTTCCTGGAAGTTTGGCATCGAAAGAGAGGGGAGAGGTAGGATGCTAGCTCAAGAAGATTTAGTGTGCAGTGAAAGCTTTTTAAGGTTAGGGGAGAATGGGGTATGTTTGTAGGCAGCATGGAAGGAGTCTGTAGGTAGGGAGATATTAGCAAGTGGATGCTTTGGGGGCAATATACTGGAGAAAACAGGAGAGGATGGGATCAAGAGTACATTGAGTTGAGTCACCTCTTTATCAGAGTCTGGATTAAAGTAATTGATAGTGGAGGATAACCATCAAACAGTTGTGACAGGCAGAGAAAGGCAAGAGAGGCAGTGCACTGGGAGTAGCTTCTATTTTTTATTTTTTTTAGTAAAGTTTTAAGCTGAAGTCCTTAGCTTAAGGGCAGGGTGGTGTGAGAGAGTTTTTTGGAGGGATAAAAGGATCACCTTGCTTCAGAGAGGGTCCAATAGAGAGTGGTTAAGTTTATAGGGAACCCAGCCAGTACTGCTGTATGGCATCTTCTAGTCCCCTTCGGCTTGTGAAAAAGAGCAACAGAGTTGGTGCGTGATGGGAGTGAGCAATCCAGGGTCAGGGGGTTGGTAGGACCCCTGAGTAGAGGATAGGCATAGATTTGAAATGGTTAAGTCCAAATTGGTACTGGCCTGGGAAAGTACTGGGGGCCCCAGTGAGAATAAAAAATAGACTTAGGGGTGAAATGGAAAGAAAAGAGGTCCAAGAAATCACCTAAAGTCTTTCCACATTGCTAGCAGGAGATGTGACAAGCAGAGCCAGCATGAAACAGCCTCGAGTTCTTCACTATTTCTTGGAATTCTTTATTTCTCTTGCATTTTTTATTCATTGATAATTTTCTATAGCTTTTGATTGACTTATTTTGCATAAAGCAGTTATAATCAAGACTAAAACGATTTAACTCTGGGACACTTTTTCCTGAATGCAAATAATTTGACGCCCTGGGTGTTGAACATATTAAATAAAAACTCTTATTCAGCTGTGATTCAGGTCTTTGTAGCTGCCTATCAAGTAAGACAAAAATGGATGAATTTTGAGGAAAGCTTAAATCAATGCTCAGCTAAGTTTTGAGGGAGCAAAAGAAATGCATACATCCTCAGGTTACAGCAGCAGCAGCAGCATTATTTTTTTTCCTTCATTTTCAAATGCCCTTAGTACTGTACTATCCAACATGTATATACTATACATTATGGAATACAAACAAGACATTTGCCTTAACAAAGCTTTCGGGCTTGGTTATAAAAAATAAACTTAGCACTTCTGATTGGGCTTTCATGGCTCTGCTTTGTGTTTTATGTTCTGTTAGATTGTTCTATCGATGTAGTCGAAGTAAAGCAGAGAAGAAACATTGGTGTGGAAACATTCCCTGGAAGGTAGGAATGGCTCATCTTGATTTAAACCAATAACTCCCTATGTTAAAACCTTTCATCTTTTTTAACCAACAAGGCCCTTACTGCTTGTAACGATTCATTTATCCCTGATTTGACTGGTACAATCCATGATGGCTGTTCTAAACTGTTTTTCTTCTCAAGCTTCTAAGTCTGCCTCCAGTCTCTTTCGCTTTCAGCAGGTGGCCTCAGCTCCTACTTTACTGAGAAAATTGAGGCCAGGCATCTTGAGCTTCCTCAGCTCTCCTATTTTGCATGTCATAGCCTCTCTGAGCTCTCACCCCTTCTCTGCTTTGTTCTAGTCTCAGTAGGTTCAGTGACTTTCCAACCCTTTGACTTGGGCACTTGTTCCTATCCCATCCATCATCTTTTGGAAGTTTCTCCAATGATTATTTATATGTAGGTTTCACTTCCATCGCTTCCCTCCTTCTCTCTCCCCTCCCTCTCCCATCTCTCTTCTCCTTCTCTTTCTTTTTCTTCTTTCTCTCCCCATCTCTATCTCCCTCCTATTTCTTTCTTCCCTTCTTCTCCTATTATTCCTTGTCCCCCTTTATCCCTCTTCTTCACTCTTCCTTTTTCTCCCCTTTTCTCTCCTTTTCTGTCCCCGTCTGTCCTGGTCCCCCCATGCTCCTCTTCTAAGCTTCCCTATTTATGTTTTATTTTTGTTTTTGCTTCTTGGTGAGGCAGTTGGGGTTAAGTGACTTGCCCAGGATCACATAGCTGGGAAGTGTCAAGTGTCTGAGGCCAGATTTGAACTCAGGTCCTCCTGACTTTAAGGCCAGAGCTCTATGTACTGCACCACCAGCTGCCCCAGCTTTCCTATTTATGTTGAGGGTACAGCTGTCTTCCTAATCACTTGGTCTCATAATCTTACAGTCATCCTTGACTTCCTCCTTTCCTGTACTCTCCATAGTCAGTCATTTTGCCAGAGTTAATCAATTCTACTTCCACAATTTCTCTGACATCTCCCTTCTCTTTACTCTCATTGCCACCATCCCAGGTCAGGCCCTCATTCCCTCTTGCTTGGATAATTGGTCTCCCTGTTTTCACTCTCTTCCCTTGTCCAGTCCAACCTTCCTAGAGCTGCTTAAACCTTCCTAACATACTCATTTGATGTGGTTCTGTCCTGTTTTGTTTTGAACAAAAGCAATCAAAAACCTTTAGTGACTTCTCATTTTCTCTAGAAAAAACGAAAAATCCTTAGCCTGATTTAAAAAAATAATAATTTAATAATAATAATAATCATCTGGCTCTGATGTCCCTTTCCAGCCTCTTTACATCTCTCTCCCCATTGAGGGTAGATACTGCTTCCTTTTTGTCTCCGTGGAGTCTGGCATCATGCTTTGCACGTAACCGCTGCTTAATGTTGTACTCAGTTGTTTAAATGATGCAATCTACAGAAATGGGTGAAATTGCAAGAGGCCACATGTAACAATGAGTACTATCCAGAGGTGCAATGACCACTTGTCTGGCATGTGAAGATTTTTGTTCAGGTATTGGTTGGACACAGAGGCTACTCAGGTCTTCCAACTTTGACTTGTGACGTCTTATCCCATTATGAATTACTCTGCTTTGATCAGTAGGTCCCCACTGGCTTATAGAGTGGTCTGTAGACCTCGACAGTTATAATCAAGGTTAGGACTTCTTGTTCTTTTTACCAATTCACTGCAGCTTTTGTGTCCTGAAAATTGTCAGCATTACCTTTATTTGGAGAAAATGTATATTCACTCAAACTAATTGAAAAGTCTTTTTAGAGACTGATTAGGCACCATCGTCATCACATTTGATGTTCATTTACCAATTTAAGTTTTGCGGGGTGCTTTATGCACATCAATTTATTTGAATTTAACAATCCTGTGAGGTAGTTACAATACATATTCACCATTTTACATATGAAGAAACTGAAGCTCAGAGGAGTTAAGTGACTTGCCTAGAGTCACAGAAATACTAAATGGAGATAGGACTAGAATTCAGGTCTTCCTGACACAAATCTTATCTTCTATCTACTATGCCATACTGCAAGGTGAACATAAATGCCTGCTCACAATCCCCATTTGATGACATTATGTAGGTGTGGGAAAATTTTCCATTTCAGAGAGCTTATGCAGAGCTCATTTACTGAAATGAGATTAATGCTAACTCTCATATCTCTAGATGGTCAGAGAGATGTATCTTATACTAGGTATTTTCCCCACAACTTTTTAAGGTAAGAATTTTATCTCATTCTAGACGAGGAAACTGAAACCCCGGAAAAGTTGAATGATTTACCTAAGTAAGCCAAGATTTGAATCCAGGTCTTCTGCTCATAAGTTGAGACTTTTTTCTGCTGTAATATGCTGTCTCCCAGAGTGCATTTGGATCATTATGGCTGCTCACGATATTCTGCCTAACAGAAAGAAAGATAGACACTAGACAACATTATGACGGCAAGACAAAATATTTACTCTTTAGCGTTTTGATGATAGTTTTTTTAGCTTTCGATTCTGCAGAGCATCCTGTAGAGGTTGGTCAATATTTTTCTGAGACTGAGGCCTAACTTAATGTGTTACAAGGGGTCTTGTAGCCGATTGTAAGTGGATCTGTAAACAAGTCTCCTAAATTTTGATTCTTTCTAGGAGGAGGGATGCCTCCTGGAGAGACTGTTTTAAGGAAGTTAAAGAACATAAGTTTATGCTTTCCATTCATTCCATTTCTTCTGAGAGAGACATTTTACATATAGACATCATCATTATAACTGTGTGTTAGAATTTTATTCTTTGATCGCCTCTTTCAGGAACCCAGTGCTAAAGGACAATTAAGCAGTACAGCCCAGGATGCATCTGATTGGCTCCAGCATTCCAGCCATCCAAGAAATCCTTTTAAAGTTTTAGACAGGAACCAAGAACCATCCCTCTGGAAACAACTAAACAGTGGCGAAAATGAAGAAAAGAGAGCTGAAAAGAAACTGAAGGAAAAGAAAGATCAGCTTTTGCCACAAAACAAGGAGCAGAAGTCTACGCCAGAATCCATTGTGCAAGAGAAGCTTCCACTGGATGTGGTAATAAATAAATCACAAGTACCCAAGAAGGAATCAGTGCTTCAGAATAAAGAAAAAGATCACAAAATTTCACATCCAAGAAGCTTTTCTCAGGTTAAACCAGACCTGTCCACTAAGGAAGACCTAAGGAAACAGTCTTTTCCTGTTAAAGAGAAGAAATCAAAAGATGCAAATCCCTTAGTCTCTGGTGAATCAGCACCTCAGGGGGAGAGTGAAACTAAGCAGAAGCCTCCAGGTACTGTCAGTCTGGACACCGTAAAGAAGACCCAGAGAGAGCAGCCTAAGAACTATGAGGCCAGAGAAACAAAGGTCAAGGCTGATCTTGACCCACAGACAAGACCAAAGAGTCAAAGTCTGGTACAGCTAGAGATTCCCAAAGTAGTCCCTCAGAGAGGGGCCAGTGGACCACAAGTATCATCAGGAGCTCCAGGAGAAGGGAAGGGCATCGATGAAAGCAGTAAAGATGATATTGTTTCCTCCAAACAAGAAAACTCCCTACATGTTCAGGTGACTGAAGATTCAACACAGAAGAAGAATCTTAAAGTGCCTGAGACCAGGGAGCCAAGATCAATCCCAGGATTCACCAAGACCTTGAAGAAGGTGGAGCCTTTAGACCCTACGCCCCAACGTTTGCATCTCGCAGCACAACTTAAGCAAAAAAAGGTGACTTTGGGCACTGTGATATTTGTGTGTTTGTGGTGAGAGTAACTTTAGTCTGTAAATGTTTTAATTTAGAGGTAATATTTTCTGGGGAGTGGCTCTTAGAAGTATTTGTGCTTAGCATGTTTTTAGATACTTAGCCTAGATGCCAACTATTGGCCGGTTAGAGAGAATTTTAGAGTGTGAGCACTTCAGACAATACTGTACTGGAAATAAGAACCCAGAACATATTCCCTAGTGGGCATCCAGCAAGAAAAATTAGTGGTTTCACACAGTCAGTGTTTGTTTTGGGCAAACAGAGAGCTCCGGAAGTTTAACACATATAAACTTTAAGCGTACTATGCAAATAAGGAAAAGGAATAGTCAGGGGACTTACCAATTACCCCTGTGTTCCCTTTTTGTCTGTTGCTTTTCTAGAGTAGGGAAAATGTTAGGGGAAAAAAATTACAGACTACCATGCAACAGCAAAGCTTCAAGATGCTCAGTACTTTGCTGTGTTTTTATTTAAAATTCTCCCTCATTGGCATGCTGAGAAGACAAGGCCATCAGTCTAACAGAATCTGCTTTTCAGAGTACACTGGCAACAGTGAACATCCAGGCCCTTCCAGACAAGGGCGAGAGGCTCCTCAAGCAAGTTCAGGATTTGGAGGCTGCACTCAATGCTCTATCCCTAGCCACAGTGACAAGTACAGAACAAGGTAAAATGAGTTAATCCCTGCTTAAACATCTGGTTACAGTTCAGAAAAACCACTTTTGGCAAGCAGCCTGTAAACTGATTTGTCATCCTGTTTCTTTGGTCCTACTTTTACCTCTGAGTGTTCTTCCAAAGCTCGCACTTAGTGGTGGAATGCCCTCCCTGTCCCAAAGGTCAGCTCTCTAATTTTCATCATTTAAGCAATTTTGGGAATCCCACTAACTCTAACAGGAAGCTTTCCCTCTCACTGATTAGGATGGTAGTGATGAATACTCATATCTAGCTCCTGTGACTTTCACATCATTGATTGACCTCTTTATTTTTCTAAACTTTGGATGTTTTTCTACTTTTTGAGCAGGGAGTAATAAGGAAAGAGATGCTCATGACCATCTGCCATGCAATCCCTCCACTAAAACCACTGCAGAAGCCCCTCGAGCGGTGCCACCCAAACTGCTGCAGCTTCAGGGTTCTCCCCCTTTGGGGGGTTCTTTGGGATTGCATGCTCCCAACCAGGCGTCTCTTGGGGGACCCAGCCAACACTCTGGAGGTAAGGTCAGGTTCTGTGGTGAGTTTTTAACCATCATAAATATTGTTATAGGTAATAAGTAGGTGCTAGCTTTTGGATGCCCTTGTTCCCATGTAAAAGCAAAAGCTGTTTTTGAACTCTGTCTCAGATGATGGTACTCTGCAAAGTTTAACTTGTTACTGAGACCTAATCCAGTTCCTTCCTACATTCTTATGAGCTGGATAGGCCAGTTTTTAAACATGGAAGCATTTTGCGTTTGTGGTAGTTTTCTTCTCATTTTTGTGTGTAGGTGGATGAATGCATGCTACATTTTCATGTAGTTAGTGTGCTTAGAGAACTAGGATTGTGGGGCAGCTAGGTGGCACAGTGGATAGAGCACCGGCCCTGAAGTCAGGAGTCCCTGAGTTCAGATCCAGCCTCAGACCAAACACTTGACACTTACTAGCTGTGTGACCCTGGGCAAGTCACTGAACCCCAGTTGCCTAAAAAAAAAAAATGAATGTTTGAGAACTAGGATTGTACTGGAAAAAAAAACTTTGTCATAGGATCATAAATTTCTTTATTTTTAGAGTTGTATTGATGCCTCTTGTTTTCACACAAGTCATTTCCTATTACAGTATTTTCCCTTGACCTTGCTGAACACTATACCTAGTAACAAAGGAAAACTAATCAACAAAAGGCTCATGTCTGCCGGTGTATGCAATGTTCTATACCCTTGTTGTTCAGTCATTTGCAGTGCTGTCTGACTCTCCGTGACCCCATTTGGGGTGTTCTAGGCAGAGATACTGGAGTAGTTTGCCATTTTCTTCTCCAGCTCATTTTTCAGATGAGGAAACTGAGGCAAACAAGGTCAAGTGACTTGCTCATGGTCACACAGCTAGGAAGTGTCTGAGGCCAGGTTTGAATTTAGGAAGATGAGTCTTCCTGACTCCAGGCCAATGTTGTATGCACTGTGGCACCACCTAGCTGCCCTCCACAACTATAGTCTCCCATCTTTCTAGGATTTGAGTGCAGGTCCTCTGGTTCCAAAGCTAACACGTTTCACTGCACTGCCTCTCCCATGTTTCAGCCATTGTGGCATTGTAACAGGAAGGAATTAATAGCCTCTGTCCAGCCAGATTATGTAAAACTAGATTTATAACACTTTTCCTAGACAAAGTCCACTTGTATGGGGGCCGGATGACCCATGATCGCCTTCAGGCTGTGTGGAAAGTTACAAGTGATGCCATCGATCAGCTCCACAAGTCTCTTGAATCATGTCCTGGCAAGGAGACAGTGGAAGAAGATCCTGATGGATTGAAGGTAAACTGAATTAGAAAAGAATTTTTAAAAAGCAGCTCAGCCAGACTAACCAATACGTCAAAAAAGTCTCACATTATTTGCATTGTTCTACAGCCATAGGCCCCCATCACTGCAGAGAAGGGAGTGGAGAGGTTTCTTGTCATTATAAGTCCAGTTTCATTTATTTTGGTGTTTTCATTTACGTTATTATTGTGTATATTGTTTCCTGGTTCTGCTTACTTTATTTTGATTGGTTTATGTGTCTTCTGATGCTTCTCCGATCATCATATTATTTATTCCTTTCTATTCATGTACTACAGCTTGTTTAGCCATTCCCCAGTTGATGGCTATCTACTTTATTTCCAGATCTTTACTACTACAAAAAGCACTGCTATGAATATTGAGGTGTATGTGGGGCTTTTTTTTTTTTAACTGTTGACCTGTCTAGGACATACGGGGTCAAATGATAGACATTTTAGTTACTTTCTTGGCATAATTCCAAGTTCCATTCCATAATGGTCAGACCAGTTCACAGTTCTACCTAATGGTAATTAGTGTGCCTGTCTTTTTACAACCCCTCTAACATTCAATGAATCAATCAATAAACATTTATTAAGTGCCTACTATGTGCCAGTCACTTTGCTAAATGCAAGGGATACAAAAAGATGCAAAAGACAATCCCTGCCCTCCAGGAGTTTACAATCTAATCTGTTCCCATCTTCTATCATCTTTGCCAATCTGTTGGGCATTGAATGAAACCTCAAAGCTGAAACCCTTTACGTTATAGAGACTGTTGTAGTCCAAGGCATAAATTCTGTTTTATATGAACAACTTGTATGAAATAGCCTAGCATGGTGAGATTCTAATATATCATTTCTGCCTCTAGATGCTTTAGTAACTTCTCTGCTGGTATCTTTTCCATTATGTTTAGTAATGATATAGTCCAGTTTTATCATTAAGTATTTGTTAAGTTCATACCGTCCATAGTCAGTCAACATTTATTAAACACCTACTATGTGCCAGTTACTTTGCTAAGCACTTAGAGATACAAAAAGAGGCAAAAGACAATCCCTGCCCTCAAGAAGTTCATAATCTAAAGACAACAAGCAAACATATATGTAGACAAGTTATATACAGGATAAACGGAAACTAATTAATAGAGGGAAGGCACTAGAATTAAGAGGAGTTGGGAAAGGCTTCCTATAGAAGGTGGGATTTTTGTTGGGACTTAAGGGAAGCCAGGGAGGTTAGTAGTTAGAGCAGAGGACAGAGAAGGAAATGTATTCGAGAGATACTGCAAAGGTGAAATGGACAGACCGTAACAACAGATTGGATGTGGAGGGTGAGAGATAGTGTGAAGTCCAGAATGACTCTTAGGTTGTGAGCCTAGAGGGCTCTGGGACTGGGAGGACAGTGCTGCCCTCTGCAGCAGTAGGGAAGGTAGGACAGGGAAGGCTTACGCAGAAAGATAGTGAGTTCCTTAACATTTTATTATCTACTCTGGGGATAAGGAAGAAGGTGACCAGTGTCCCCACTACTCATGGGGCAACAAGAAAGCCAAGGAAGCAGACAGGAGTCCCAGAGGTCTCGTCCCCTTGTGTGGGTGAATTTATCATGGCCCTAGAATTGGCTCTTTCATCTAAAGTCTTAAATAAGTTCAGAGGAAAAGATCATTGTCTGTTAAGATGAGTCAGGAAACAATTAATGGAGCTGATCTTTAAGCTGGACCTTAAAATGTAGATTTTGAACAGGCAGAGAAGAGAGGGATAAGACTTCCCAGACAGCATGACTGGCAAATCTAAAGGCAATTACTAGCGAGTTGTGTGCAGAAATGAGTTCTGGCTTACTAGGGTTTAGTTGATAGAGTGCTGGTCCTAACAGATCTGAGTGGCAGAAAGCGTATCTAGTTCACTGCACAAGAATCCGTCTATCACATCGCCAACAAGTGCTCATCCAGCCTTTCTCTGAAGGGCTTTAGGGAGGTAGGCCATCATCTCCACGGGTGTCCCATTCCACTGTTTGATAAATCTGATTGTAAGAAAGAGGAAGGTTTTCCTTAACTTTGAGCCTAGAGCTGTCTCTGCAATTTCTAACTTGGGTTTCTATTTCATAGGATCATAGATTTAGAGTTGCAAGGGACCTCCCCAGCTAAATCAGCCTCCTCGTTCTGGTGAGGACACAGAAGCCCTGTGAAGTAACCTGCCCAAGCTCAAAGCAGTAGCTGAAAAAATCTCATCTGTCTTCCACATGGTTTCTTTTCAGATGCCTGAAGACAGCGGTCATTTCCAATCCCTGCTCCAATCTTGTTACTTGTGTTACTTTGTGTTACCTTGAACAAGTCATTTAAATTTTCTGGGCCTCAGTTTCTTTATTTGTAACATTAAAGGGTTAAACTAAATGATGTTTAAGATATTTTCCCATTCTAAATTCATGATCCTACCCTGTGATAGTCTGTACCTGGTGACAGGCAGCTAAGTGCTCTACCTCCCTATAAATCTTGGATATCAGTACCCTATTAACAATTTTTGTTTTGTCTTTTCCATTCTGAAGGTTATTTGTGCTTGGCAAAGGAAATAGAAGCAAGAGTTGGATAATTGATCTGCTGTTTTTCCATTGTCCCATCCATATTGAGCCCCAGTCCTATTCCTGCTTTGATCCTTCTCTTTTGTCCTTTATAACTGAAAAAAAAAATAACCTTACAAAACAAACAAAAAAACAACAAAATGGAATCTTTGTTGCATGTAGTGTCCTTTATTTGCATCGGATCATTCAGAGTTTTAGCATTCCTCGTGTTATTTTTGTGGTTCTGCGACATGCTTTTGTATTCATCCTGTCTCATCTGTCCCTACTTCCTTCTTCTGTACCTTATCTTTTTAAAATCTAAATTGATCGAGTTCCCCTGTGCATTCACATTGGTCTCTTTAGACAAGTTACCCTTTTCATTGAAATCATTTTTCTTTATATTGTCAGAATTTTATTATTGTTTCCCATCTTCCCTGGTCCAATTTTCCTTTTAGTCCATGGGATCCTATCTATTGTATCTCTGAGTCCTTTGAAATATGCTCTCTTGTAATTAGGTGGACAGCTTGCCTGTACTCTATCATAAATTCTGAGAGTTGAATGGTCACTTCCAAGGTTTCATATCATTTCTACTTCAACAACCACTGTGACCATGAGAGACAAATTTGCAGTGATGTACATGGAGTATTCTCTGTCTTTCTGCCTTAGCTAAGTAGCTGCTATTGATGTTCACAGTGCAGGCTGGTTTGCAGCCTAGAGCAAAGATATAATGGGGTTCAAGGAATATCTCTTCGCTCTTCAGGTTATCAGGTGGAATGAAATGCCCCTTTAAAAATGGAAGAAGTTATTTGAATAAGGATCTGAAGAGGCAGAGTAGAATCTTGACCTTTGTCGAGAAGTTAGAAGGAGGAAGGATGTAACACAGGAGAAAAGAAAGATGGAAGGACTACTGTCCACTTTAGTTGGTTTCCTAATGGTATTTCTTTTGAAAATGAGGAGCGTGTAACAAAGAAGCAAAGTGTGAGATTCGGAGTAACCACAACTAAGTACAGCATGACCGGGCAAGTTATACTTTACACTTCATTTCTCTTTTCAGGTCCCTTTGCTTCTGCATCAAAAGCAAGCATTGGCATGGTTATTATGGAGAGAGAATCAAAAACCTCATGGAGGAATTCTAGGTAAGTGGAGAAGTATTGGCCTTTGTGAGTACATGTACCCTGACAGAATATCTTCAGAGAAGTGTAGGGGAAGTGGAGAACAGTTTAGAGGTAGAATTATAGCCAATCTTGTGAACCTAATAGGAGTTTTATGGATTTTGTTTGTTTGTTTGTTTTGAAGGTGGTTGTCCCTAGCTTTCTTTTTTTTTTTTTATTTTTACTCTTGCCATGCTGCTACAGGTATTTATTTATCAAAATAAAAAAAAATAATAAAACTTTCAAATTTAGAATATCATCCATGAGTGTTTTCTTCTAAAATGATTGTCTGGCATATATATTCGGGATCAGTTTGTTTTAGTTACCAAGTTGTTTTTTCCTAAATTATTTGGTTTTTAGTGTTTTTTTAACATTTTTTTTAAAGTTTTGAGTTCCAAATTCTGTCCTTCACTCCCTCCCCTACCCCTTATTGAGACGGTAAGCAATCTGATATAGGTTATACATGTGCAATCACGTAAAACATATTTTCCATGTGTTAGTCTCTCCACTTTCTTTTTCTACAATCCCCAAACTCCTTTAAAATATACTCTATTTCCACTTGCTTTTTTTTCATCCTGCTGCTTGATTCATCCTTTCCCCAATTAAGTTCTTAAGCCTACTTATACAAGCTGCTGTTTCTTTTCAGTCAGTGTAATGCTAGTTATTAATCACAAGAATCTCTGCAACTTATTTACATTTTAGTTGCCTTGGTTCTAATAAGACTAAACCCATTCCTAAATCCAGTGATTAGCAGGGAGGAGCCTTTATTCTTAATATCAGATTCCTGGAGTGGGATGTCTCCATATCTTTTGTGATTTGATTAACTGCTTCTTTTTTGATAGCTAGTTTTTTCCATGAAAGGCCTGTCATTTGGTCTCAGTTTTTCCATTTTGAAAAATTTAAAAGGTCGCTCATCCCTTCTAGGAATGCAGTTCTATTTAGGGATCAAGTAAAAGCACTTTGAGGGGGCTTGGTTGACGTAAGGTTAACATTTGTTTGTGAACCTTTTTCAAGTGTGTGATTTCTGGGTACTTTGGAAGTTCTGAGTCAAGTCGTAAAGAGTCAAAATACACAGCAATAGGAAGAAAACCTGGGTCTGCTTTCAGCCAGAGAGTTTGAGAAGAATAACTGTGATGGAGCCCCGTAAAGGGAAAAGGAAGCAAAGAACGTTCGTGCACGTGGGGCTTGGGAGGCAAGTTAATCCTGTCCCCTGAATAACCTTAGCTGTCTTCTGTGTTCTTCTTTTCCAGCGGATGATATGGGCTTAGGCAAGACCCTGACGATGATTGCACTCATTTTAGCCCAGAAAAATCAAGAGCAGAAGAAAAAGAAAGACCAAAAGCTTGTTTTGTGTCTCTCCAAAGATGGTACAGGATGGGGGCGGGGGTTCCTCTGGGCTGAGAGAAGGAGGCTTCAAATTATAAGCAGCCAAAACACCCTGGGTCATATCTAGTCCATCTATGAGGGAGCCAACTAATTTCTCAGGTGGCATTTTTAATACAAATTCAGAGTGACTATAGACTTTACTAAAATCAGCAAATTTTCCGTCTAGAAAATGTTTTTGAATTAATTTTTTTTTACTTAAAAAAATCTATCTTCTTTCCTACTCCTCCATTGAAAAGGAAAGAAAAACAAAACTTTTGTAACAAATATTCATAGTCATGAAAAACAAATTCTCATATTGGCCACATTCAATAAATATGTCTTAACTTGCACCTTAAGTCCATCAACTCTGTCAAGTGGGTACGTGTTTCACCATGAATCCTCTGGAATTGTGGGTGATCATTGGGTTGATCAGAGTTCTTAGGTCTTTTAGACTTAAGTTTTTATGATGTTATTGTTATGTAAATTGTTTTCCTGGTAGCACAGTGAGTAGAATGTTGGGCCTAGAGTCAGGAAAAACTGAGTTTAAATCAGCCTTAAACACTAGCTGTGTGACCCTGGAAAAGTCACTTAACCTCTGCCTCAGTTTCCTCACTATAAAATGGTGATAATAATAACATCTGCCTCCCAGAGTTGTTGTGAGGATCAAATGAGATAATACTTATAAAGCACTTAGCACAGTGACTAGCATTTAGTAGTTACCTACTGACTTGTTCTCTTCCCTTCTCCTTCTCATTTTACTTGGCATCAGTTCCTACAAGTCTTCCCAGCTTTCTCTGAAGCCTTCCCTTTAATCATTTCTTACAGTACAATAGTATTCTGTTACATTCAGACACTATAATTTGTTAGCCATTTCCCAATTGATGAGTATCCCCTTAAGTTCCAGTTCTTTGCCACCACAAAAAGAACTACTGTAAATATATTTGTACGTGTAGGGCCTTTCCCATTTTCTCTGATCTTTTTTGGGGTATAGACCTCATGGTGGTATGACTGAGTCAAAGGGTATACTAGTTTAATAACTTTCTAAATATAGTTTCAGCTTGCTGTTCAGAATGACTAGATCAGTTAACAGTTCTACCAACAGTGCATCAGTATGCCTATTTTCCAATGGCATCTCCAAATTTGTTATTTTCCTATTTTTATCAACTTTGTCCATCATATGAATCTGAAGTGAAACCTCAGAATTGCTTGAATTTGCGCTTCTCTAATTATTAGTGACTTGAACCATTTTTTCATATGGCTGTTGACTGCTTGGATTTCTTCCTCTGAAAACTGCCTATTCATATCCTTTGACTGTTTATCAGTGGGGAATGGCTCTTATTTTTATAAATTAGAATATCTTGGAAATGAGGTGTTTTACAGACAAACTTGCTCTAATAATTTTTTTCACACCTACTTCCATTCTAATTTTAGCTGTATGAGTGTTATTTGTCCAAACGTTTAAAAATTTAATATATCAAAATTGTCCATTTTATATAATCATGTAAGGAAATTAATTCTCCAAAATAGTTCTTGTTTGTACTGACACTTGTTACAAAGATAAAAGGATCTCTGAAACTAACTGTAACCTAGTTTTGAGTAGCTCATGCTAATCTTGTGGAAAAGATGAGATGTAGACCAGATTATAAAATACAATTAAATGAATTTGGAATTGTGGAATGACTGGATTCCAATTAGATTGACTAGGTTGGAATTTCAAGACTCCAAAAAGTAATCATTAGTAATTCTGTGTCATCTTGTGGGAGGATCTCCAGTGGGATTTCCCAGGGATCCATGCTTGGCCTTGTGTTATTTGACATATTGATCATAGATAGGCTTATTAAATTGAAAGTGATCCAAAATTAGGAGGAATAGCTAGCACCATGGATGCCCAAGTCAGGATTTTAAAAGATCTTTCCTTAGAATCACAGAAAACGATAGTTGAAAGAGATGTCATTGCTCATGTAGCCCGACTCTCATGCCAAAGGAATCCTCACTGCAACATACCCAACAGAAGGTCACCTAGCCTTCACTTGCCTACCTCAAAGGAGGGGAAATTCACCCTTCTCTAGACAATCCTTTCACTTTTGGATGGCTCTGATTGTTACTAAATTTGTCTTGACATCAAGCCTAGATTTGCCTCTTTACAGTTTCTCCCCATTCTTTCTGGTTCTTCCCTCTGGGGCCAAACAGAACAAACCTAAGTCTTCTTCCACATGATAGCCCTTCACACACTCGCAGACACGGCCACCATGTCTCATGTCTTCTTTTGTTCAGACTATACGTGCCTGATTCCTTCAGCTGATCCTCTCACCATTCTGGTGGCTCTCCTGCATGTGCACTCCAGCTTATCATTGCCCTTAAACTGTCTGCCCATATTCAGATATGTTACTTTGTATGAGGTCCGAGAAGGGCCTGGTGTGATGGGACTATCAGCCCTGGAAGCTAAGCCCCTCTTCATGAAGCCCCAAGTGGCATTAGCTTTTTTGGCTGATACATCACACTGCTGACTCATTGAGCAAATCTTTTGCAAACAAAGCTATTGTCTGACTGTGGCTGAACTTGTAAAGTTGATTTCCTGTATCAAATGTAAAGCTTGGCATTTATTTCCATTGAATTTCATTTCACTAGTTTCAGCCCAGTGCTCTAGCTTGTCAAGATCTTTTTGGATTCTGATTGTCATTTAGTTTGTTAGCTGTCCTTTTCATCCTGCTGACACCTACAGATTTGATGAGCGTGTCATCTGTGCCTTTATCTAAGAGTCATTAGTTAAAATATTAAATGGCACAAGTCAAGCATAGATCTCTTGGACACTCCACTGAGGACTTCCTGATATATTGACATTGAACCATTAATTATTACTCTTTGAGTCTAGTCATCTAACCAGTTGTGAATCCATATTTACATATACTATAACCAAATATGTACAAACAATTCTTTTTTCTCCAGTGTTTTATTTTTATTCTTTTCTTATTATATTTTTCTTTATTTTGTTTTTTCCTGTTTACAGTTTTCTTTTTTAAAATCATTTATTTATAGTGTTGTTTTCTTTATAAATTTTGAGTTCAAGATTCTCTTACCCCTCCCTCACCCACTGAGAAGGCAAACAATATAATATCAGTTACACATGTGAAATCATGCAAAACATTTTCATATTAACTGTATTGCAAAAAGAAAGCAGCAAAGGTGAGAAAATTTGCCCTCAGAGTTCATCAGTTCTCTCACTAGAGGTGGATCACACTTTTCATCATGAGTCCTTTGAAATTGTCTTGGATCACACACAAATAATTCTAAAGATAAGGTAGAAGCTGGAAAAAAAAATCTAACCATCTGCCATCAGTGGCCCCATTGGAAATGAAAGAGGCGATCATATTTATTGTTAGGATGGAGCCCAGTTCCATTATGGGGTAGGGTGATTAATGTATATATTTGAACACATTTCACAGAGAGGCCCAAGTAGAGATCAACCCAAATAATTTCTATTTGGCTTTGGAGATTGTTTTTCATACTTACATTTGAATATGTGTTTTTATTTTGGGGATTCACAGCATTTAAAAATAATAGTCATACTGAAGACCCAACTGATGGGAAACTGGAGAATTATGTAATGTCTTCTTGTTCCTCATTCTACCCCTTCTTCCTTTTCTAGGCAGAGGATATATAGCGTTACTTTTTAGAATACGTAAAGCACCACCTTAAGAAGGCCTACAACACACCTCTCTGTACCACTAAGGAGCCAGTGCTATCTTCCTGGATTATATTTTTATGGGGGAAAGGAAGGAAAATAGCTAAAGAAATTTGATTTATAAAAATATTCCCTTCTAGCTCATATTCATAAACCCCTAGAAATAAGAGTAATAAATGTTAAAAATAGAAGTTGAGTAGTCAAGAAAAGGTGATGGGTCCATAAGAACTTAAGATTTTATCATTTAACTGCATGGTTTTTTTTCCCTTAAGATTCCACTAGCTTTACATCCCATGGCACTTTAATTATCTGCCCTGCCTCCCTGATTCATCACTGGAAAAAGGAAATAGAAAAACGTGTGAGTGGCAACAGGCTGAGAATCTATCTTTATCATGGGTCTCATCGGGAACAACATGCAAAGGCGTAAGTGGAAGATCATTGTGACCTTGAAAGGGTTCAGCATCTGGTTAGCCTAAGGGGGACTGTAAGTTAAAATTGACCTTCACCAGCAAGACCGAGATGATGGTGTCTCTTCTGGCACCTACTTACTATCACATGTAGATTCTACTCTAACTAATGTTGCGAGTGTGTATTGCAGTTTCAGAATCAATCACCTTCCCATGTTTGGAGCTGGGAAAAAAACAAGCCATCTTTCACCAGGGATCTCATTGGAAAAGGAAGGGGAGGTCGAGGTCATGCTTGGTGTTAAAATGGAACCTAGTTCCTTTCATTATAGAGCAGAGGGATATGCATACATTGAGAGCCGAATGTTGGCCTTTGCTTATTTTTGGCCTTTGGCTTATTTTTGCAGGCTATAATCTAGAAGGCCTTGGGATTCCTAGGGTTTGCCACCAGGTGGCAGCAGGACTCTCCCAGAGAAGAAGGCTATTATTTGAAAGTAGACTGAGTCCACATTTCTCCTAGTTTAGGGGATTGTCAATGTCCATGATTTTTTTTTTATTTACATTCTTCTTTTATTAGCAATGAAACCAGCCTTATATGGTACACGTGAGATAATACATTTGAAAAGTTGTGTAGAAGAATTTCATTGTTTTGTCTTTGGCGTTATATATGTCATCTGAGAGATGTTGGTTTCATGAATAATAGTTCACTTAATATAGGGCTTTAAAGATTTGTAAAATACTTTTTTCTCCCCAATAACTCAATCAGGTAGGCACAGGTACTTCTCAAGTGTTAGTTCTGCCTTCCAAATTTATTCATTTCCATGTCTCATGTTTGTATAGCCTTTCCATATATGATGTAGTAATCACCACCTATAGTCTTCTTGCCAAGGAGATCCCTACAAGGAAGGAAGAGGGAACTGTCCCTGCTACTGATGCCTGTGTGAAGGTAAGGTACTTTGAGGGAAAACAATTTTAGAAACCATATATCATTAACTGGGGTGGAATTTTTTACCTAACCCATGGAGTTAAGAGCTCATCTCTTTAATTCTGTAAAATGGAAGCCATTTATAATATGTCTTACCGATGGGAGTGAATATCTGCTTCCCTGACCCACCTTTGTCACTTTTGCAGTTAATCTCTTACTTAAACACTTCAACAAACATTTATTATTTATATTTATGTTTTGTTTTGTTTTGTTTTTGTGAGGCAGTTGGGGTTAAGTGACTTGCCAGAGTCACACAAGTAGTGAGTGTTACGTGTCTGAGGCCAGATTTGAACTCAGGTCCTCCTGACTCCAGGGCTGGTGCTCTATCCACTGTGCCACCTAGCTGCCCCTATATTTTTATATATGTATATATTTTTATGTATCACTTACGTTGAAGTTAGGCATATTTCAAATTATTTGTTATAGTAGAAATAGAAATATAGTAGAAAACTTTACATAACTTGTAATAATAACATGAATACAGGAAGCTTATGTGTATCAGCTCATAGTTTTTCCACAAGGGTAATCAGTGTGTTACTGTACTTTTTGGTTACTTTAATAATGCAAATTCTACAGTATCCTGGACATATCTATATCCATATTCATGGTATCTAAAAGAAAAAAGCAATGATTGTGGCAGATGAGTAAGAGGTCAAAGGGTAGGGAAAATAATGGATATAATCAAGAAAGTTCACTTGTTAGGTAAGCGTATGTGTGGTTTGATATACTATAAGGAAGAATGTGTGACATTGATCATTCTTTTCTGAATGAATACATTTTTTAGTAGCAAGTTGTTTTTTATGGTAGCAACAAACCCAGTTTAAAGAAATAAATTACAGCTCCATGAATCACTGTTGTCCCTGAACAGTGATTATGCCAGAATCTGCCACATCATTTGCATTTAGTGCATGTGCTACAGCAGCAAGTATCAATTGCAGTTTTTAGTGTTTACAGATTTATCTGTTTGTGGTTATATCTTTTGAATATGGCCATCGTGAATGGTGAGGGTTTCTTTTACCTTGTTTTTGAAAGATTGCTTTCTGTTTTAGAAAGTTAAGGTCTTCTTATATGTTATCTACTTTCTTTTCTTTTTTTTTTTTGTGGTGGGGCAATCGGGGTTAAGTGACTTGCCCGGGGTCACACAGCTAGTAAGTATCGCGTCTTACGTTGGATTTGAACTCAGGTCCTCCTGACTCCAAGGCCGGAGCTCTATCTGCTGTGCCACCTAGCTGCCCTTCTTATGTGTTATCTAGACCTTAAGTGTCACTGAAGAAATAATGGGTAGGGTGAGGTTGAGAGACTTTAAATGACTTGCTTATATATACTCCTGTTGAGTTAGTTTGGGTCCTAAACCAATTCCCTATTTAATGTTCTTAATATTAGCCTTCCCATTTGGAGTTATTGCATCACCAGTCTATCTTCTCTAGGACTGCACATCGCCATTGCTGCAAATAGTCTGGGCTCGCATCATACTGGATGAGGCTCACAACATTAAGAATCCCCGCGTGCAGACCTCCATAGCTGTCTGTAAGCTACGAGCTGGGGCCCGCTGGGCTGTCACTGGAACCCCCATTCAGAACAACCTGCTGGACATGTATTCATTGCTGAAGTAAGATTCTGGAGGAATGTGGGTGGGTTTTGTAGCCCTTTACAAGCTTCCTTACATTGAGAACCTGAATATGAGTCAGATTTTTGTACATAACAGAAGATGAGTCTATTAATATTTTTAATAGCAAAAGGTCTTTATAAATTAATGATTGATAGCTGATTGATAAATGATTGTGTCTTTATAAGAGGTCCTTGTATTAACAGCCGTAACTCACATTTATACAGTTCTGTATATGACCTACCTGCAGGTTCATAAGGTGCTTTATATACATCCTTTATTTCATTCTGTTTGATTCACCAAGCAGCCCTGTGAACTAAATGTTTGATTGAATGAAATAAGTGAGTGAAAAAAGAAAAGAAAAAGCATTTATTAGACACTTTCTGTATACCACATACTATGCTGAGTGTTGGAGATACAAAGAGAGAAGGCAATCCTTGCTTGTAAGGAACTCATTCTAATAGGGGGAGGCAGTATAACTAGGAGGTTTCAGCTACAAGTCAGATGGAAAGGCCCAGCGGTCCTTAGGGTGAAGCGTCAAGACATGGTAATACACCCTCTTTAGTGTCATTTCCATTGATAAAGCCATTTCCTGTTTCTGACATTGAACTGTGATAAAGTGCCAAGGACTTTGGGGGTGAGCGCTTTGTTTTCTGGGTCTGCAGTAACTATAGCAGGGGCAGAGTTAGTCACCAGATCTCATCTCCACAAGGGTGGCTTCCCTAGGCAATGGCTCTAAGGGCAGCCCGGAAGCAGGGCTGGCAGTGGTAGTGAGGGGTAGGGGCAGGTCCTCTTGTGCTTACCTGTCCTTTGGTGGCAGTTGTTCAGTGGGTGGTATTGGCGGTGGCAGGGATGATGGGGCTTCTTCTCCATAGGAGTCGTTCCCCTGGATGATAGCAGTGAGAGCTGGGAAGCAAGATTGGTGGTCTGGGCACCTTCTAAGATATTTCTAAGATATTTGGGTGTAAGGTCTTGGACTCGTGTACAAGGGAAAGTGTTGGTGAGAATGGTGGGGTAATGTGTTCCATTTGGGACTGCTGCCTACTCTGGCAGCAGGGCACCTTGCTGCTGACACTTGTTATTACTCCTGTTTTTAGATGAATAAACTGAGACTTGGAGAGGTTAAGTTACTTACATGTGGCTGCCCAGTTAGTAAGCTTGGAGGTGAGATGTGAATCCAGGTCTCTCCCGACTCCAGACGTAATGCAGTTTTTCAGTCGTGCCACCCTGCCTCTCAAATGCCGAGCGAGTTGGCTTAAAAATGAAACCAAAAGTCCATTTAGGACAACAGAAAGTCATGGACATATTCTTCTTCAAAAAGCAGGGCCTAGGGCAAGGTCCTCAGTTTATCTGAGGCAGACACAAAAAAGCGTTGTTGGTTGTTCCTTAGTATATTCCTATAGGAATACAAGACTGAGTTACAGAGAATTTCACTTCTTGGTGGTTGGGCTCTTGTGACTGTCAAACATTCACAGATGTTTATGGAGAAATTCCCATGTTGTCGTGTGGTCTTAGTGGCTGCCCAGGCTGTCTTGATCTGGTTCATGGGGCCTTGCTGTGATGATCTCCTTTTAGTGTAGTTGAATGACAGATGAAACACAAAATATGGTTTACTTTTCCTCTCAGGTTGGGCTTTAACCTTTCACTGCTGTTCCTTTTTTCCATCTTGCTCCATCCCCTCCAAAAATCAGGTTCCTCCGTTGTTCTCCATTTGATGAGTTCAAGCTATGGAAGAGTCAGGTTGACAATGGTTCATCAAAAGGAGGGGAGAGGTTAAGTATTTTAACCAAAAGTCTTTTGCTGAGGAGAACAAAAGACCAGCTGGATTCAAGTGGCAAACCCCTGGTAACTTCATTTCTGTCTTTCACTTGGGTGGCCACAGTAGGAGGGAGATGGTCCTTTTCATTGTGCTGAAATGGTTACTTGCTAGATTTCATGGGTTCTGTAGCTCCTAATTTCCTACTTCAGAGGAGACCACAGGATTGCTACTTAATGCAATGACTGCACCATTATCAGAAGTCTGTCCTCAAGGTGGCACCTGATATTTAAGTAATGGCTAGGAGTCTGATGTCTAGTGCCAGTTTCTGTGAGTCTGCTCTGCAGTAACCTTTAAATGGTATGTTAAGATAAACATCAAAGATATCTTTCCTTTTATAACACACATGTATTATAAATATTTGTAAATATACTGGCTTAGTATTTCTTTGACTCTCCATCAGGTGGTGTTGCCCCAACGTAGCTTCAAGTTGCACCAGTTGAAACTTTCAGAAGATGAAAAAGCTGTGTATGATGTCCTTTTTACAAAATCAAGGTGTGTGATAAAAGAAGTTCACTCTCTTTCTCTCTCTCATATCATCCATGCTCTTTTTCCTTTGGTAGTAAATGAAAAGTTAGATTGGACCCCCTTAGACTATGTGTTGTGAGTTGACCAATGTTTGATTTGTTAGATCTTTTCTTTTTAATAGTCCAACATTTTGATTCTTCTCTTTCATATTTGTTTTCTGGGACAAAAATCCCTCTTATCTTAATGTAATATGCATAGGTTCAGTTTGGCCCCCAGTCATGCCAGTAATGTGAGGTTGTCTCTCTCTGCTCTGTTAGTCAGTGTATATAACATTCAGAATCACACTTGGCCTTTTTCTTAATCTTACTCAATGATACTTTGATAATGGCTGCTGTCTTTCCCCCTCAACCTCAAGTTTTCTCTCTCTGTTGTTTTCTGCTTCTGTCTTTGTGACTTTTTCTGTCTTTTGTTAAAAACCAGACTCTTTTTCTAGTTCTTATGACATCATATTTGGTCATCATTTGTTATTATATTAATTTCAACTGACAGGTTATCTGGTGACCTTAATTGTTTACCAGCAGGCTGCTGCCAGCACAAAGCCATAGTGATCATGACCTTCACTTTATGGTTTCTTTGAGCACCACAGAGTGGCTGTGTGGGAAGTATGTTGTAGGTGGTAGAGCACTTTCTAAGTGTAGGTTGTCGTGGTTTTCATAGAGTCTGTCTTTGTTTGATCCAGGTCAACTCTACAGTCCTACTTAAAAAGGCATCTGAGGGAAAACAAGCAATCTGGAAGGAGCCCTGATAATCCATTCAGTAGAGGTGAGCTCTGCTCAAGAGGTCACATCAAAAGAGCGACAGTTTAATTAGTGCAGGTTCTTCCCTGTGCTGATTCCATCCGTCCATATTGTAATAGGTGACCTCCTCCATAGCTATGTCAGTAAGTCATTCCATAAGCACACTCGCTGACAAGACCCTCTGAGCCTTAAACGACAGTCCCACAGTCTGTCGGGGGGCCCAGGCTGGCCACCTTCCCAGCATGGCAGGACCTGCCAGAATCTTCACCCCTCTCGCCAAGTGGAGTTGGAAGAGCCCAGGTTCACTTCCACCTCCAGAAGAGGGAGTCTGCTAGAAGATACAGTGTGATGTGTGATAGTGTGTGCTTGAAGGGATGGAGAAATGGACCCGGCAAGTACCATCCAGGGCATTTGATAAGCTGCTTTCTTGGAGAAGTAGCATGACATAGTATTTCAAAAGCTGTCTTCCAAGTCAGGAAGACCTGGGTTCAAATCCTGCTTGAGACACTTAATGTATAACCCTGGGCCATTCACTTAAACCTCTTTGGGCCTCAGTTTCCTTGCCTGTAAAATAAGGGGATTGTACTTGATGGCCTCTAAGGTCTCTTTTAGTCATAAACCTATGTTCCTTTGGTATCAGAACCTTGAACCAAACCATGAAGCAGAGATTAGAGTGATCATACTGAGCAAGGGTTGTTTCAAACCACTTATGGAGGGAGTTTGAATCAGAATGGAACCCGTGTATTTTAAAAATAGTTCCAATCGGGGGAAAAAACCCCACAACCAGATCATCAACAGTCTTTGAAACCAGGATCTCACTTAGTTTGGGTCCCTTGTTGAAGGCAGAGAACCATAGGTATACTGAAGGCCTGTTAGTCAGTCAGGAAACATGTATTCAGCGCCGTCTGTATTCCAGGCACTATGCTAAGCACTGGGGATACAAAGAAAGGAAAAAGACAGTCTGCCCACAAGGCACTCATAGTCTAATGGGGAGAAAGCCTGTTAGCTGTCCCAGCAACTATGCAGCTTGGGAAATTCTTTCCTGAACTGGAAGTGTATTCCAGCACTCCACCCTGAACTTTAAAACAGACCTGTTCCTGCCCTGGCTCTTCTAACAACTCTTTCTCTGCCCTTCACTTCATCTTTGGGTTTGCTGCTTTGGCAGTGACAAAGGAGTTTGAATCTTGTGATCCTGGGCCGAGCGCCCCAGCTGGCCCCGAGTATTCCAGCACTGCCCATATCTTGTCATCATTGCTGAGACTCCGCCAGTGCTGCTGTCATCTCTCTTTACTAAAATCGGTAAGGAAAACCCTCAACATATCTCTGTGTGGTGCCCTGGAAGATTCTGAGAAGCTCCTGGGTCCGTTCTAGTTGTGATGCCGTCTGTCTGCTCGCTGACTTGTGTCTGTCAGGTCAAGGGTTAATCTTTCATTGAGAGGCTGAATGGGAAAGCTTTGATTTCACAGACTTGGGTGATTAGTAATTCTTCAGTTACTGTTGCCTCTGCCCAAGACTGGTTTTAGCAGGCAGCCAGTGCCGTAAGCAATGCTTGCTTGGCTTTTAAATTGAGATGTGTCAGCTAATGCCCATGAACCACTTAACTAAAGGAGCATTTATGTTCTCATGTCCAGTTAATTTGGTGGCCCTATCTCTATAATTAAGAAGATTTTTGTGGGGCTGTAGAACTGAATGGAACTGTCTTTTACTCTGGGACTACACTTAACTTTGAAGAACTGAAATAGAGTTTAAAAACTGGCGGAAATGGACATGTCATATATTTTGTGACCTTTCAACCTTTTATTTGTCAGGCTTTTAGTATGGTTGGAATTATGCTCTGTCTAGTGTTTCTGTGAGGATTTACTAACGGTGCCTTGTAAAGGATTTTGATGAGTGTTGAGCACAGCCCTCAGCCTGGATCAGCAGTTTGGCCAGTTTCCTAAACTGGCATAAGCCTTTGGGCCACTTTTGCTGATGCTGGATTTGTTTCATTATGTCTAGACTCTTGACCAGACTGAGCTGAAGAGTGAAGGCCTGTTCCTTTCCTTGGAGGAGCAGCTCAGTGCTTTGACCTTGTCAGAACTCCATAACCCAGATCCATCTGCCACCGTCTGCCTTAATGGCACACAATTCAAGGTGGAACTGTTCGAAGATACAAGAGAGAGTACCAAGGTATTATGGGGTTGGGGAGTCATCACCATTGCAGTGGAAGGCGTGGAAGTCTCGCTCTTCTTTATTGCTTTTGGATTTCAGTTGGTGGGTTTCTCTTTCCTCCAGTCTTCAATTCCTTTCAGAGTTGGTAATGGCCAAACCCTGGGATGGAGAGAGCTAAGCTGGCCAGACTACAGTAAATTTGAAAAGAACCAGGTAACCCCACCTGATTATTCATGGTCTGAGGCATTTAAAAAAGACCAAGACAGGTTTTTAATTTTTTTTTTCCTGGGAGGCGAAAGAGGGAGTCACATATCCATTTACATTGGGAGGAATGCCTAAGCAGTGAACAAAGCTGCAAAGATACTTTTTTAGAAAGAGCTTTATCAGAAAACCACAAAAGGACTTTGAATCCACAAAATGGGGGTTGTACCTGAAGTCAGTTGCTTTTTACTCACTGAAAACCTTCTAGCTCTAAGTATTGTTTCTTACTCGGCCAGCTACCTCCATTAATCACTCCATTCTAGTTCCATTAAAGCTTATTAAGGCTGACACTTCCTTCCAGAGGGTGGCAGAGATAGGATGTTAACTGGCTTCCAGCCACACTCTTTGTTAGCTGGATTATAATTATATGCCCTTGTCCTCCACACTCTCCTAAGTGTGTCCTCTTTTCAGTGTTCCTACCTGAATTGTGCCATTCTTACCCCAAAGCTCCTTCCTTATCACTACTGTGTGGAAGAAAGACCAAGGAGTCTGATGACCTGGGCTATCTGCCCAGTCTCTGTCATTTATTAGCTAGATGATCTTTTACAATTCAAGTATTTAGCACAATGCCTGACACATGCCCAGCACTTAATAATTGATTGTTGATTGATTTACCTACTCTGAGCCCGTTCCCCTGCCTTTAAAATGAGAAGAAGAATATCTCATTGAGGAGATTCCTCCTTACTTCAGGATTTCATCCCATAAAAGCTGGATGTTGTTTAAGGGATTATTGTTTCTTCAGAATTAGAATGAGTTAGTCTAATTGGCCTCAGATGTTCCTTTGAATTTTGAGATTTTGTGAGCTGCCCTGTGTAGTTCATAGGGTTGTTGTTAGATTGAAATTAAATAATATGTTAAAACCTCCTATAAGGAAGATCAGTTAAAGGGAACTGGGGGAAGGGGAAGTTCGGGGTATCACTATTCTACATGGTTGACTTTCACATACTGGAAGATGATTGGCATGTCTCCCACCCAGACTTGTCTATTCCAGGCAAAAAAATCCCAGACTCTTCGATCAGTCCTTATACAGCATGAACTTTAGGATCTCCACCATTCTGGTTTGGCCCTTCTTTGGATGCTCTCCAGCTTATCAATGTCCTTTCTAAGCTGTGGTGCTATAATACCCCAGATCGGGTAGAGCAGAATGCAGCACCTCCTTATTTTGGAAGAAGCTCTACCCCACCCCCCCAATGCAGCCCAAGATCTTATTAGCTTGTTTCACTGCCATGTCACACTTGTTATGCCAAACAGAACTTATTTTCCTTTTTGACCGGCTTTCTAAACTGGTAAATCAAAGAATGCTGAAGATGTATTTACCTAGATTTTTGGCAAAATATTTGATGAAATATCTCATGCTAAACTTATGACAAAGATGGAGAGATTTGGGGTAGATGATAGTATAATTTTACTCTGTACCCCAAGTAGTGTGGAACTGGACAGTATGGAACTGGTTAAATGACCAGACTCAGAGTAAGTGCTTATAACTTCATGTCACCTTGGAGGGAAATCCCCAATAGTTCCTCAAGGAACTTACCTTGGCTCTGTGCTATTTAACATTTTTATGAGTGACTTGGAAAAAGGCATAAATGACATTCTTGTCAAATTTTTTGACGATACAAAGCTAGGAGGGAAAACTAACTCACTGGTGACAGTTGGGATCTAAAAAGATCTTGACAGGCCAGAAAATTGGGCTAAACACTGTTGTACTGTTGCTGGAACTGTGAATTGACCTGACCATTCTGGAAAGGATTTGGGAACTCTACCCCAAAAGTCACTAAACTATCTATACCAGGGGTGGGGAGCCTGCGGCCTTGAGGCCACGTGTGGCCCTTTAAGTCCTTAAGTGCGGCCCTTTGGCGAAATCCAAACTTCACAGAACAAATCCCCTTAATAAAAGCATCTGTTCTGTAAAACTTGGACTCAGTCAAAAGGCTTCGCCTAAGGACCTAGAAGGCCACATGTGGTCTTGAGGCCACAGGTTCCCCACCCCTGGTCTATACCCTCCCAGCAATATCAGTACTCAGTAAAGAGAGAAAATGCCTATCTGTACAAAAAATACCCATACTAGTACTTTGCTGTCACAAAAAACTGTAAACTCATCAGCTGGGAAATCGGCTGAACAAATTATGGTATATGAAGGTAATGGGATATTATTGTACAGTTAGAAATAACAAAAGGGAAACCTGGGAAGATTCATATGCATTTTTATGTAGCAAAGTGAGCAAAACCAAGAGAACAATTCACTTCCATAGAGTACCACTGATAAAATGTTGCTACTGAAAATATGGCGCCAGTAAAGGAGCTTCGCCATTTACCAAATGCAGTCTAGCCCACTGTGCTCCTTTTATTCAGCATTGGGCCAGGCTCATTCTTGTCTGTCCTAAGTATACATACTACTGGACAAACTCTAGAGAGTGTCCGTCCAAATGCATGTTGAAATCTGGACAACAGACACTCTTTATCCACTTGGTCTACCATGTGTGGGTGACAGACTAAACCCTTTCAGGTAATTGCAGAAAACTTCCAGAAGGTTTTGCAGTTGTGGGGTTTGATGCAGTCACCATGATGTGACCCACAAACTGGAGCATCTCCAGGACCTCACCACACACAGAGAACCCTCCTTTGGCCTGGACTTTACTCTGGATCTTCTCCGACACGTTGGCAGATACCTTTAGCATCTCCTTATTTTATGCCTTGAATGACACTTATTGTTGGAGGGTCATTGAACGGGGTTATTTCTGTTATGTCTTCTAAGGAATTGTGAATGAGCTTGATGTTTAGGTGGGAGAAACCTTGCAGTGAAAGAGACTAGAAAGTGATGTTGTATTTGACTATATTGGCAGCAATTTTCTAAAACTCTTAAGGTATAGATGGGAGTTACTAGCTTGCATTTGTGGAGGGAGTTTCCATGATGAGAATTCCCTGTGCTCATGAAAATCACAGGTTAGAAGACCAACAAAAAAGCAAACCCTGCAATAACTGTGGTACCTACCTGGCAGGGCTGTTGTGAGACCAAGATCTGATAATGTATGTAAAGTATGTTGCAAGCTTTAAAGTACTTCATAAATGTCAGGTGATTTTAGGGAGAAAGGCATTGAATTCAGCTCCATCTCAATCTGTAGGTGTCAGTATCCCTGTTATGCATGGCCTCTAGGCCTCAGGTAGAAGAATGGGTTTCTGCTTAAGTATCATCTCCAAATCCCTATAAATCTGATACAGAGGAAAGACCACTGGCTCTGAAGACAAAGGACATGGGTTCAGATCTCACCTCTGATGCAATCAGTCAACAAGCAATTGAGTACTTGGTAGTTGTTGTCAGTCTGTCCAACTCTTCTGACCCCAGGTGGGGTTTTCTTGGCAGAGATACTGGAGTGATTTGCCATTTCCTCCTGGCTAGTGCTGGAGCTCATCTGACAGATGAGGAAATTGAGGCAAACAGGATGCAGTGACTTGCCCACACAGCTAGTGTCTTCCTGACTCTGGGCCTGGCCCTCTGTGCGCTCTGGCGCCCCCTAGCAAGCTGCCCATTAAGTGCTCATTAGGTACCATAAACTCTGAACAGGTCACTTAAGCTCCCTCAGCCTCAGCTTCCTCACCTGGGGCTGCTTCCAGCTCTAGATCTGTGCTTCTTTATGCCTGTCTCTGAAGAGGTGGCTCTTCTTGCCAAGGCCTTGTGACCTCAATCACATCCACTGAAAGCTTTCTCCATCAGTTATCCCCCCTCTGTTCTTCTTCTTCAATGTCTCCCTCGCTGGAGGCTCCTTTCCTACTGCCCAGGCCATTAGCGTTTTTTAGAGAACCTTCTTTGGCCCTGCCATCCTCTCAAGTTCTGATCTTTCCCCACCAAACTCTTAGAGGTGCCTGTCACTGCCTCCACTGCCTCACCTCCCACTCATCTCTTGACCCCTCTTATAGTCAGGCTTTCCACCCTGACCCTGGATGGAAACTGCTCTCTTCACAGTTAGCAACAGTCTCTTCACTGCTAAATCCAGGTCCCTTTTTTCAGTTCTCAACTTCCATGACCACTCTGTAGTTTCTGAGAGCATTGCCCACCTTCTCCCACCTCTCCTTTCTTGGCTTCTGTGACACTCCCTAAGCACAGTGGATAGAACACTGGCCTTGGGAAAGAGAAAGACTGAGTTCAAATGCTGCCTCAGACACTTAATAGCTGAGTGGCCTTGAGTAAGGTCACAGCTCTTATCTGCCTCAGTTTTCTCCTCTAAAATGGGGATAATAGCATCTACTTCACGGGGTTGTTGTGAGGATCAAGTGAGATTACATATAAAAGCACTTTGCAATTCTTAAAGCACTAAAGAAATGTTAGCTAAATCATCATTATTTATTTGTTTGTCTAATTGACCAATCTTCTTAGTCGCCTTTGCTGGATCATCCAGGCCCAGCAGATAAGCGTTGGTGTGTACTCCAGGGCTCTGTCCTCGGCCCTTATCTCTTTCACTCTACACACTCTTAGTTAATCTCTTCTGCTCCATTCAGAGGCCTCCCTGACATAAGTATGTACATATATACATACCTACATATCCAGACTTAATCTCTCCCCTTAACTCTTATCAAATCCTTAATTTCTTGTTGGATACCACCACCTTGCTGTCCCACTGGCCTTTCAGACAACTCATACAAAGTGGATTGGCCTTGGTTTCTTCGTGTATAAAAAAGATATGATAATATCTGTAGCATTTACCTCAGGGTGTTGTAAGAATCCAATGTGTTAATGTATATAAAGTACTTTGGAAACCCTAAGACACTATATAAATCTGTTGTTAATAATATTATTGTTGTTACATAACAGGATGAACCTAGTCTTCTCTGTGTCAAGACTCAATCCCCATGTATTGTTTATAGCTGTTCCCAAATGAGCAGTTGGCTCTGTGAGTTTTCAGTAAATACCTGCTGACTTGACTGGTTCCTTTGTTGTTTAAATTCTAGTTGGTGTCTTCTCTAGCAAATGCCCTGGAACCTTAATGGAGGGCAGCTGACCTCGTCATGGGCACTGGATGGGTTGGAACAACAATTAGAGTAGAGGAGAAAAGTGGAAGTGAATTTTGTAATAAATTAGTCATTCAACAAATATATGTTGACAAAGAGAGGCTTTATGTGGTAGGCACTTTGGGAATGACCAGTGTAAAGGAAAAAGGCATCCTTAAAATGTTAAAAGAAAAATACTTGACAGTGGTTGAATTACAAAGTGACCTAATCAAAGTAGAATTTAAAGTTCATTTCTATTTTGGGTACAATGAAAGTTTTAATTTGGGTGCAAATTAAAGGAGTCATTTGAGTGTTTTTTCCCTGTTTTACCCACTCAGACTAGTTAGTAGATTAGCTTATTGCCAGGAGGTTATTTATGGGAGGTAACAATGAGTAGCACATGTGCCCATTTTACAAGAAAAAACTAAAACAACAAACCATGATCATATGGGAAAGATACAAATGAACAAATATATTCAGTTCAGGGTTTTAAGTGTTGGGTATGTGTGTGTATGTGTGTGTATAAAGCATGTTTGCATGATACTGTACTAGACACTGTTGTATACAAAACATAATACCAGCTCTGTGGATTGTTACAGTGTTATAGGGTAAATTATAATGTACACAGATAATATATGAATGGGATTTTCATAAACTTACAAATCAATCTCTCTCTTATCTAGATATCATCTCTGTTAGCAGAGCTGGAGCTGATCCAGAAAAATTCAGAATTTCAAAAAAGGTAAATGTAATGCCTCATCTTCCTAAGGCTTGGTTATGACTAAACTGGAGAGTTGAATGCTGGTTTTAATTCATTTTCTGTGAGAATCAAAAACCTTTTCCCAAGGCCCTTGAGTCACACCACAACAGAAAGAGCACAGTAATTAGAGTGGATGGAAACCATCACCTATCTGTGATTATGAATTAAAATTTTCTTGTGGTTCAGACTGAAAGAAGAATCTCTATAGGAGCCCTGTAATAACAAGTTAAATGTCTGGAGGAAACTTTCTAATAGAAAGTAAAAAAGCAGTTTGAGGTTAACAGCTGCCCAAGAGATGGTCTGATTCTCTCTGCTGTTATTTCCCTTCTCTGACAGAATAATAGATTTGTTTTCTAGGTGTATACCAAGGATATAAAATAACAAAAGTGAAATATATTTAACTATAGGCTTTTATTTTTATTTTGACACCATTTCGCATAAGCAACTCAAAGAATTCATTCCTTGCCCTTTTCACCATCAATTCATAGCTAGGATTAACCATGCCAGCAGAATCAGAGCCGGTGGGCACAGGACGGGCTGCCCCTGGAGGCGGTAGGGTCCTGTTCCTCAGAAACTTCCAGGCAGCATTGAGAGGTTCCCTCGTCAGGCATGTTATGATGGAGGTTCCTCTCCTGTAGGGTTTGGACTAGGTGACTTCTGAGGTCCTTTTCAGCTCTCAGATTCTGTGATTTTGTGCAGCCTCAGAGGTAGGTCTCGAGGATGTGGCAGTTTGATTAAACAGACATTTTTCAACAGCCTACTATGTATAAGGTGCCCGGGGGAGACAAAACCAAAACCACTCCTGCCACTCAAGAGCTTTCATTCTACTGGAGGGCTAGCTACAACAGATGTACCTCTAGATAGGTCTAAGGTAATTTGACAAAGCAAGAAGGAGGGATCAGGGAAGGCTCCTGGGAGGACAGGCACCTCAGCTTAGCCTTTGAGTGACTGCATAGATGTGGAAGGTGGCAGTGCTGAGCTGGGTGCAGGGAATAACAAGTAGTCTAGTTCAGCCAAAATGTCAGATTGTCTGAGTGTCTGTGTGTAGTCTATAAAGTAAGATGGGAAAAGTAGTTTGGAGGCACAATTTGGAGGGTCTTGAGGAGTTTTGCTTTTATCCTAGAAGCCTTAGAGAGTGGGGCCAAGGACAGCTTTTAAGCAAGGGGATGACACAGTCAAATCTGTGATTTGACAAGATCATTTTGGCAACTCTGGATGTTTTAGAGAGAAAGAGCCTGGGAACTAGAAGACAAAGAGGAGAGAAGGTGTGTACCAGGATAGGATGTTGGTGAAAGAGCTTGGGGAGGGCTGCTAACTGACTGAATGTTGGGGGAGAGAAGCTGAAGGGTCTGGTGGATTCCAAGGTTATAAACCTGGGGGAATGTGAGTGAGAGTGGCAATGCCCGCCCTCTCTAGGGATAGGGAAGCGTGAAGGACAGCAGGAACACCTGTGCTGGGAACTCAAGAAGGCTTAGGTGCACATCTAGCCTCTGCCTGTCCTCTCTGTCTCCTGGAGCCAGTTACTGAACCTTGGAGTTTGTTTCTTTATCAGTAAAATGGTGAGAAACAGCAGGGCAGGTAGGATGGAGTCAGGAGGAACTGGAGTGATGTCTAGATTCTGACACATAGTAACTGCATGACTTTAAGTAAATTACTTCTAAGTGACCTGTGCAATTCTCTGAAACTTACATTAGAGGTGAGAGTTGCTAGTTGGCATTTGTGGAGGGAGTTTTCATGATAGGAATTCCCTGTACTCATGAAAATCACAGGTTAGAACAACAACAGAAACCACAGACTCTCAAATAGCTGTGACACCTACCTGGCAGGCCTATTGTGAGACGTGGGTCTGATGATGTACGTAAAGCATTTTGCAAGCTTTAAAGTACTTCATAAATGTCAAGTGATTTTTAGAGGGAAATGTGTTGAATTCAGTTTTATATGTATTTGAAATGCCAGTGGGACAGCCAGGTGGTGCTGTCCAACAGGAAATTAGTGATGTGACACTGGAGTTAAGGAGAGGGATTAAGTCTGGAGATATCTCTCTCTCTCTCTCTCTGTCTCTCTGTCTCTCTCTGTCTCTCTGTCTCTCTCTCTCTCTCTCTCTCTCTCTCTCTCCCCATATACATGGGGGGGGTGTATGGGGGGGGTGGCATGGATGATCCAGCAAAGGCGACTAAGAAGATTGGTCAATTAGACAAACAAATAAATAATGATGATTTAGCTAACATTTCTTTAGTGCTTTAAGAATTGCAAAGTGCTTTTATATGTAATCTCACTTGATCCTCACAACAACCCCGTGAAGTAGATGCTATTATCCCCATTTTAGAGGAGAAAACTGAGGCAGATAAGAGCTGTGACCTTACTCAAGGCCACTCAGCTATTAAGTGTCTGAGGCAGCATTTGAACTCAGTCTTTCTCCTTCCCAAGGCCAGTGTTCTATCCACTGTGCTTAGGGAGTGTCACAGAAGCCAAGAAAGGAGAGGTGGGAGAAGGTGGGCAATGCTCTCAGAAACTACAGAGTGGTCATGGAAGTTGAGAACTGAAAAAAGGGACCTGGATTTAGCAGTGAAGAGACTGTTGCTAACTGTGAAGAGAGCAGTTTCCATCCAGGGTCAGGGTGGAAAGCCTGACTATAAGAGGGGTCAAGAGATGAGTGGGAGGTGAGGCAGTGGAGGCAGTGACAGGCACCTCTAAGAGTTTGGTGGGGAAAGATCAGAACTTGAGAGGATGGCAGGGCCAAAGAAGGTTCTCTAAAAAACGCTAATGGCCTGGGCAGTAGGAAAGGAGCCTCCAGCGAGGGAGACATTGAAGAAGAAGAACAGAGGGGGGATAACTGATGGAGAAAGCTTTCAGTGGATGTGATTGAGGTCACAAGGCCTTGGCAAGAAGAGCCACCTCTTCAGAGACAGGCATAAAGAAGCACAGATCTAGAGCTGGAAGCAGCCCCAGGTGAGGAAGCTGAGGCTGAGGGAGCTTAAGTGACCTGTTCAGAGTTTATGGTACCTAATGAGCACTTAATGGGCAGCTTGCTAGGGGGCGCCAGAGCGCACAGAGGGCCAGGCCCAGAGTCAGGAAGACACTAGCTGTGTGGGCAAGTCACTGCATCCTGTTTGCCTCAATTTCCTCATCTGTCAGATGAGCTCCAGCACTAGCCAGGAGGAAATGGCAAATCACTCCAGTATCTCTGCCAAGAAAACCCCACCTGGGGTCAGAAGAGTTGGACAGACTGACAACAACTACCAAGTACTCAATTGCTTGTTGACTGATTGCATCAGAGGTGAGATCTGAACCCATGTCCTTTGTCTTCAGAGCCAGTGGTCTTTCCCCTGTATCAGATTTATAGGGATTTGGAGATGATACTTAAGTAGAAACCCATTCTTCTACCTGGGGCCTAGAGGCCATGCATAACAGGGATACTGACACCTGTCAACTGAGTTAGAGCTCATTGTATTTGTTCCCTTTACTGTCTTTTAGTGTCATTGTGTCTCAGTGGACCTGTATGCTGAAAATTGTAGCTCTGCATCTTCAGCGACATGGGCTGACTTATGCCACTATTGATGGTTCTGTCAATCCCAAACAGAGGATGGACCTGGTAGAAGCTTTCAACAACAGCTGCAGTGGACCCCAGGTAGGAAACGGGTCCTGAAAACTGCTAACTGAAATCTCTTGAAGATCAGCAGTCTGTAATTTCTCTCACCAGGGCACAGATTGGTCAATTTGATACTGACTATCTCCAAAGAAGTAAGCTAACAGTGACAATATGAGGCTGTCACAGCCTTCAGCCTTGCCAAAAGGAATTAGTTCTCTTACAGGTGACATTTGGCTTCAGAGATTCAATTCTTTTGTTTTCATGGTCCTTTGATGTCAAGAGTTCTAAGAGCTAATTTATTGCTAACAATAGGATTGCCAGTCTCTGATATCAACACAAGTTTAGCTACCATTAAACAGAATCTATAATTGCATCCCAAACGGCTGACTCTTTTTTGGCAAATACACATAGGTTGAGAGTTGGACTTAAGCCTATTTCCCCTACAGAGCATGAATTTTTGGACACTAGCAAAATACTCCAATTCTGAATATAGGATTATTTCCTCCTATGTATTTGTTAACATGGTGCTTTTTGTAAGGACTTTGCTTTTCCTGGGGTTCTCCATTTTCATAAACTGTTAAGAGCAGACAGGGTGGTGTAGCAGGCTCATCTGAACTGTTTATTGAAGCTCCAGCTTTGTACCTGACTCAAGCTGAGCTTACAGGTAGGATATTGTACTTCAGCATAGCACTGCGCTTGTCACAGACACTGGCTTCGTTTTTGATGTCTGGCTGATTGGAGCAGGTAAAGGGCTGGGTGGGGGGAGTGGTGTTTAAAAAGAGGAAGTGATGGAAAGATCTTGTGATCCCCATGGAATCATGCAGTAATTGGTGAGAGGAGGAAATCTGGCAGCAGCCTGTGGGATGATCGTGATGGCCTTTCAGAATTAGTGACATGTGCTTCCTTTTGAAGGTCATGCTGATCTCTCTCTTGGCTGGAGGCGTTGGACTGAACCTAACTGGAGGGAACCACCTTTTTCTTCTGGATATGCATTGGTACCAACTGCTTTCCTTCATTATGCAGGACAGATCGCCAGAGTGGAAGGGAGGGATCTGCCTTATTCATTGAGTTCTCTCTTTACTCTCCAGAAGTGCCTGTGCTGTGTACATGGATGTGTGTTGGCTTATGTGCTGTTATAAGAGAAATAAGCATAGTGGGGAGGTTTTTTTGGGTGGGGGAGGAGTAGTTCCCAGAATTCTTGAGTAAGATTTCACATGATAACTTAAAGTCTTCCACTTGATTGCTAAAGCTCACATCTGTTGCCATGGTAACTGAAGCAGGGCCATTCCTGGCAGCTGAGAGCAAACACCTGTCTGTTTCAGCTGCAACAAAACGTGCCTGTTTCCAAATACATTTTTTGGGGCCCAAGAACATTTCAACTTGGGAGGATTTTTTAAAAAAAAAATCTTACTCCGAAAAAAACATGAAGAACTTTCAATTACACGTAAAGGGAGCTGAAGTATATTTAACATGTCAACTCTACATTAGTGTTTGTGTTGGACTTGACAAGGTAAAGACCAGTAACAGTTATACTCTGTTTGCATATAAATATGAGTGAATTAGTCAGGTGCTGTGAGAATTTTTAATAATTATCTTTTGTTTTCTTGACTCTTGCTCTGATCAGGAATTTACATAATGAGCAGTGCTCCCAGGGACTCTTGCTGTGCTTCAATCCTCACCAACTTAAAATTGGCACACTTAGAGCTACCATACTGCGCTGAGCTTTGGAAAATTAGGTTCAGGCTTTACTGTGCTTGGTACCACACAGGTCTTTATGAGGGAAGATTGAATAAGGAATATATGGTAAAGAATCATGGCAGTTCCTGAAACTGAAGATGATTCTCAGAGATTTTTAAAGAGCAAAGCACTGATGTTTGGAGTTGTGGGCTGATCTGGCCATTCTGGAGAGCAATTTGGAACTATGTCCAAAGAGCTATAAAAGTGTGCATACCCTTTGACCCAGCAATAGCACTTCTAGGTCTGTATCCCAAAGAGATCATAAAAATAGGAAAAGGACCCACCCACCTGTACAAAAATATTTATAGCAGCTCTTTCTGTGGTGGCAAAGAATTGGAAATTGAGGGGATGCCCATCAGTTGGGGAGTGGCTGAACAAGTTGTGGTACATGAATGTAATGGAAGACTATTGTGCTATAAGAAATGATAAGCAGGCAAACTTCAAAAAAACCTGGAAAGATTTGTATGAACTGATGCTAAGTGAAATGAGCAGAACCAGGAGAACATTGTACACATGAACAGCCACATTGTGCAATGACTGACTTTAATAGGCTTAGCTCTTCTCAGCAATGCAAGGATCTAAGACAACTCCAAGACTCATGATGGAAAATGCTGTCCACACCCAGAGAAAGAAATATGGGGTCTGAGTGCAGATGGAAGCATACTATTTGCTCTCCTTTAAAAAAGAAAAAAAAAAGAGAGTGAGACACTGAAATGTTGAGAGAAGGTAGTAGAGGAGAGATTGGGGTTGAAAATTGGTATTTTGGGGGCAGCTAGGTGGTGCAGTGAATAGAGCACTGGCCCTGGAGTCAGGAGGACCTGAGTTCAGATCTGGCCTCAGACACATAACATTTACTAGCGGTGTGACTCTGGGCAAGTCACTTAACCCCAATCGCCTCACCACCAACAAACAAACAAACAAAAAAAAGCAAAAGAAAATTGATATTTTTGAGTGGCAAGACAGTTTGACTCTTTGGAGATAGGTCTAATCTTACCCTTGCCTCAGTAGCTAACAGTTCTAAAATAGTAACAGGGCAAGGGATTATTAAGGAAGAGAGTCACCTCTATCCAAAAAATGTGGAGAGGATAGATGATCACGTAGTATTACTGTGAGATACTGAAGAGCAAGTTTTTAGGATCATTTAGGCAGGTACAGTTCAAGCTGCTGAAACCTTTATTTTTTCCTCTTATCCCTGGCAGGAATCCAGCACTTGAGGACCAAGCTTGTGACCGAATTTACCGAGTTGGACAGAAAAAAAATGTGGTCATACACAGGTGAGAAATGATCTTTCAGGCCTCAAAGTCCTTCTAAGATTCTTTGGCAGGTTACTCTGACTTCTTCAGATAGAGTAAGAACTCTTCTACCTTCTGTTTGATGGTTTGAAATGATTTATGTATGAGTTCAGCAACGATTTGGCTACCACAAGAAAGAGTTGCTATAAATATTTTTTGTATGTATAAGACCTTTTCTTCTTCTTTTGATCTCCTTGGTGAATAGGCCTAGTAGTTGTATTGTTGGATTAGAGAATATTGCACAGTTTATTAACTTTTGGGGCACAGTTCCAAATTGCTTTCCAGAACGGTTGAACCATTTCACAGCTTTGACAGTAATGCATCAGTGTGTCTGTTTTCCTACAGTCTCTCCAGAATTTGTCATTTTCCCTTTTTGTCAACTTTGCCAATCTTATGGATATGAGGTGGAACCTTGAAGTTCCTTTAATTTTCATTTCTCTAGTTGTTTGGAGCACTTTTTTATATATGGATATTGATAGCTTGGATTTCTTACTCCAGAAACTGCCTATTCATATCCTTTGACCATTTATTCTTATATATTTGAATCAGTCTATATATCCTCTATTAGAGAAATTTACTGCAAAGATATATTTTTTTTTAACTACTTAACTCGTTTCCCTTCAGATCTTAGTAGCACTGGGTTGTTTTCTTTTTGTGTGTGTGCAAAAACTTAAATTTTATGTAATTGAAATTGTCTTCTCTATCTTCTGTGATCCTTGCTATCCCCTTGTTTGGTCATGAGCTCTTTCCCTTTCCATAGTTCTCAAAAGTAATTTCTTCCTTGTTCCTTTAATTTGTTTATGATGTCACCTTTTATATCTAGATCAGGGCTTCTTACACTTTTTCTATGCACAACCCCTTCAGCACGTCTTAAACTGTGGATCACGACCCCACATGAGGTTGCAAGCCCACAGTTTAAGATCATGTGTCCATTTGGAGTTTATCTTGGTATATGGTGTGAGGTTAGTCTAAACCTAATTTCTGCCAGATAAATGCTCAGTTTTCCCATCAGTTTTTGACATGTAGTGAGTCTGATATCTTTGGATTTATCAAATACTAGGCTACTAGGTTCATCTGTTTCAGTGTACTGTGGACCTACATTGATTGTGTACTGATCAGTCTCTCTGTTTTTTAACCTAGAGCAAATTGTTTTGGTAATTACTGCATTGTAGTATAGCCTGAGATCTGGTAATAATACTCTTTCTGCCCATTTTTTCATTATATCCCTTGATATTCTTGACCTTTATGCTCCTCCAAACAATTTTGTTATTTTTTTTCTAGTTCTAAAAAGTAATTGTTTGGTAATCTGGCATGACACTGAATAAATACCTTCGTTTAAGTAGTATTGTCAACTTTTCTTATATTATCTTGGCCTATCCAGGAGCAGTTAGTATATCTCTACTTACTTAGGTCTTTATTTCCTTAAACAGTGCTTTGTAAGTATATTCATTTAGTTCCTTTGTGGATTTTGGTAGATAGACTCCTGAGAACTTTTTACATTCTATAGCTATTTTACATGGAATTTCTACCTCTTCCTGTTAGATTTGGTTGGTATTATACAGAAATGCTGATGATTTATGTGGATTTTTTTAATGTCCTGCTCCTTTGATGAGGACTCTGGTTAATTCTCCTTACGTTTAATACTGGCTCTTCATTTTAGATATATACTATTTATCCTGTGAAAGAAGGATCCATTTATTCCTATGTTTTAGGTTGGGTTTTTTTTCCCAACAAAAATGGAGGTTTATACTTTATCAAAAGCTTTTTCTGCATCTCTTGATATAATCATATAATTGTTATTATTAATGTGGTCACTTATGTTTATAGTCTTCCTGATATTAAACCAACCCTGAAATAAATCTAAACTGTTTATAGTGTATAATCTTTGTGATATGTTGTTTTAGCTTCTTTGCTAACATTTTACTTAAAATTTTTGTATCAGGGTTCATTAAGTATATTGGTCTATAGTTTTTTTTCTTTTTTTGACCCCCTAGTTAAGGTTTCAAGATCACATATCTTAAAAGGAATTTGGGGGGCAGCTAGGTAGCACAGTAGATAGAGCACCAGCCCTGGATTCGGGAGGACCTGAGTTCAAATCTGGCCTCAGACACACAACACTTACTAGCTATGTGACCCTGGGCAAGTCACTTAACCTCATTGCCTAGCCAAAAAAAAAAAAAGGGAATTTGGTAGGATTCCTTATTTTCCTGTTTTTGTAAACAGTTTGTATAATATTGGAATTAATTGTTCTTCAGGTGTTTGATAGACTTGGTCCTTTTTTTTTCCCCCTTTGGGAGTTCAATTTCTTTGAGATTGAGTTGTTTAAATTCTCTATTTCCTATTCTGTTCATCTAGGTATGTTACATTTTTGTAAATATTCATCCATTTCATGTAACATTTTGGTTTTATTGACATATAGTTAGACAAAATAGTTTCTAGTAATACCCTTTATTTCTTCATTTGTTGTGAATTCTTTTTCATTTTTTGATACTAGTAATTTGGTTTTCCTTTCTTTTTTAAATCAAAGCTAATGGTTTATTTGGGTTTTTTTTTTAAACCAACTTCCTAAATTTATTTATTAATTCAGTGATTTTTTTCCCCCTTCATTTTACAAAAGAGAGATTGTGAGTTACAAAAGTGACAGAGCTGAGATTCAGATCCAGATCCTTAGACTCCAAATACACTCTGCTCTTTCCCCTACATCACACTGTTCAAATTCCTTATTCCAGCATTAGAACCCTCCACAACCTGGTGCCAAACTACCTTTATGGTCTCTGTCCATGACAAATTGAGCTACTAATTACTCATATTATTCCATCAGCATGTTGATTGATTTGCATCCCCTCTACTAGGCTTTATCTTCCATCCTCTGGGCCTGTTCATATTTTAGGGTAAGGGAACAAAGCTCTGCATCAGTGAATTAATTAGTGGGGTAAACTCTCTCTCCCAACCCAGATTGTCAAATTATTTTGTAACTTATAGCCCCAAGAGTTTTGTGGGAGCATTGACAGGTTATATGACTTGCCCAGGATCACACAACCATTGTGTGTCAGAGGAAAGGTGTGAACACATGTCTTCTTGACTCAGCAGCAAGCTGACTCTATATTCATTAAACCATTCAGCTTTTTCTGAAATCTTACCTATCCCAGAAGACTTAGCTTAAATCTTTCTACTGCAAGAAGCCTTTCCTGAAACCCTCTACCTCAGGAGCTAATGGGCTCCTTGCCACTTCCTGGATGACCACTTGCTGAGGATGTTGTAGAGGGCGTTCCTCTGCATCTACAGGTTGGACTCAACCTCTGAGTTCCCCTCCAGTGGACAGGGGTCAGACATTTTTATCTTCCCCAGTACAGTATCCTGCACACTGTAGGTACTTAATTAAAGTGGTTAAATTCATTTATACCGTAGTGCAGGTTGCTCAGGCTTGCTACTCTTGGGGCTCATAATCAGTAAAGAAATAGAAATGAGCTTAGGGGAACTTGAGAGTACTTATTTTGTACCACAAAAGGAAGCAGGCGTCCAACTGTGGATCATTGAGGCAAGCCTTGTTTTAATACGGGGGCCAACGGAAAGCTCTTTGGCACTAACCCTGAATTGCACAGCATGTTCTCAGCTTTGGCTACTTCTGGGGGAGGACGTCCCCAGGCCCTGCTGCTAGATGCAGTGTTGTGCCTGACTGCATCCAGCACGCTTTGGGGCGAGGTACATGGAAGCTAGACATTCTACACCTTACACAGGTGTGCCTTTTGCTCACTCAGTCTTCCTCCTCTATTTTGGTCTCAAAAGAAAACAGAAAGGCATTTGGAGTCATATTTTTAAAGAAGGACTTGAATTTAGTCAAGAGTTTGTCAGTCATCTAGGCACTAGAGAAATAAGAACCTCTCAGATTTCCATAAAAAGCCTAGTGTACAAGTTTCAAGTTATGTCAGGGTTTTTGGGTTGGTTTTTTTTTTCCCATGCAGCCTAAGGAAAATTAATGTTATGTTTTGGGTTTTTTAGGTTTATCTGTGAGGATACAGTAGAAGAAAAGATCTCGCACCTTCAGACCAGGAAGAAGAATTTAGCCACACAGGTTCTGTCTGGATCTGGGGACTCCTTCACCAAGCTCACTCTTGCTGACCTCAAAATCCTCTTTGGCGTTTAATTTTCCATCTAAGACAGAACTGAACAGTCTAGCTGGGGAATTTTTAGATGCTTCTAATGTTGATTTATTTGGGCATCTGCACCCTGAGTCCATCAATTCTCTATCTGAAGTAGATAGTATTTTACATCATGATTCCTTTGGAGTTGTGGTGGATCACTGTATTGGTTAACGTTCCTAAGTCTTTCACAACTGATTATGTTTGCAGTATTGCTGTTACAATGTAGGTTATTCTTCTGGTTCTGCTCGCTTCACTTTCCATTTTCCCAGGTTTTTCTGAAAGCTTCCCCTTTAGCATTTCTTACAGCACAGCCATCACGTTCATAAACCATAACTTGTTCAATCACTCCTCAACTCCTATTCTTTGACATCATGAAAATAGCTTCTACAGATATTTCTGTACATGTGGGTCCTTCTTCTTTGATCTCTTTGGGATACAGACCTAGTAGTGATATTGCTAGGTCGAAGGGTATATACAGTTTTATAACCCTTTGGGCATAGTTCCATATTGTTCTCCAGAATGGTTGGACCAGTTCACAACTCCTTTTTTCCCATATCCCCTCCAGCATTTGTCGTTTTCCTTTTCTGACATCTTAGCCAATCTGATGCATGTGAGGTGGTGTCTCAGAGGTTTTTTGACATTGTTTCTAAAGAGATTTTTCCCTCTTCTCTTTAGTGTAGAGTTGCTTAAACTAGGGCATTCTGCAGATACACAAGAGCTATCCCCCAGGTTACAAAATAGCAGCTTTTGGAGATATGTTCTTGAGAGACTCCTTGAAAAGAGCTTATATTAGCAAGAGGATCATTCTGAACTATAAGAAAGGAAGGCAACTTTCAATGTCAACTTTCCTTCGGCCCCTGTGCCGTCCAGCTGTGGGGGGGGGGGGGTGTTGACAACTGCTTTGCAGCCTCTGGCAAATTGTGTTGTGTTCTTGTTGGTGCTGCTTGGCACAGTGGCTCCAAGCTGACTCCAGACTGCCTAAAGATACTCATCCGGCTGTGCTGGGTGCCACTAAGTACACTTTCTCTTTCCGGTCATCTGATAAAAGTTAACATTGCCAGAAAACTGACACAAGGTGCCCTTGTAGCTGCTGTTCTTTATTGTATAGGACTGCTACTTTAGGGTGAAATCATGAAGAATTATAGTAGGATTTGAGGAGCTCTTACCACAAAAATGCGGAAGTGAGTATTATTGTGCTTTTAGGCTGTTTCTGGGTATTATTCAAACCAAAAACTTATCACACACACACTTAATAAATAGAAAAGGGGTCTACTACGTGTTGTAACAGACAGTATAATACCCAGCTACTGGGTTGTCTGCTTCATTGGTTCCTTTCTGCCCTCATACAGTACTTGGAATTAAGAAACCTAAGGCCTTTTTTTATGTTAATTGAATAAGGCATGAATGTTTCATCTTTAATTCAACCATCCTTTCCTTCCCTATTGAGACAGATGACCCCATAACTATAGTCCCTTGGTGGAGAGGAGAGGAGCAGGTGGGAGGAAGGGGCTGAGGACTATGGCACAGGGAAAGATTTTTCTTTCATTCAGCAGTGCTGTGCTACTGTTTTAAGGTTTGAAAGAAGCTAAGCTTTTGTCGGTAGTTCAGCTATAGCATCAGCTGCATATTTCGTCATAACGTCCCTTTATATACAGGGTATCCTGAAAATCTTAGTGCAGTCTTAAGCTTTAATAAGTTTAGAAGTATAATTACTACAGACTGAAAAATTTATTTGAAAGTTTAATTATTCAAATTTCTCTTTAGTTTTAACAAATGGGGCACCCTGTCCCACACTGTATGTGTGACAGTTTCTAGATGACACTTCCACAGACCAATGGATTGGTAAAGGAGGTCCTCTTCCTTGATCACTTGACTTTTTTGAGGGAATGGCATCGTTTCAAAACTGTCATGTCTGCATCAGAACCTTATTCTCTGAATGAGCTGGAGGTATGGATTACAAATGCCATCCTTTCAGTCACAGAGGAGCAGCTGTAGGAAGTTTTTTACAAAGTTTGACATCAACTAGAGTGATAGCACAAGATGGTGGTTAATGTTGAATCTGAATAAGAAACATCAGTATTTCAAAATTAAATTTTTTTTTGTAAATTGTAACATCTCTGCTTCTGAAGTTATTAAAGATTAAAAGTGCATTAAAAGATTTTGGGGACACTGGTATATTGGTACTTAAATACTGACAAATTAAAGTTGATCTCCTTGAAACCATTTCCTGCCTTGCCCTCGGAAAGCTTCCTGAATTGCTAAGTCTTGGTTTTGCCACAAAGGAGAGCTGAAGTCCTAAAGACGACATTTTAAAATTCATTTGCTCTCACAAGTTGTCCGTTTTTTCTGCTTGTACTTGAATTTTTACAAGAAATATCTTGTTTAGTTAAGTAATTCTAGCTACATTTATACAGCACTTGAAGGTTTGTAAAGCTTAGAAACATAAAGATTTTTTGTTGTATGAGGATGTTTTAACAAATAACAGTGTTTCCCAATTTCCAATGCACCCTGATCTGAAGCAGATGGTACATTTCCCCTCCTTCAGTTTTTCAAGTTCTGAACTCGATTCATTAATAGCCCAGGGTGGGGTGGGGGAAGGGAATGAATCCAGCCAGGCTTCTTCACCAGGAGCTATTCTCTTCATGTTTGAGGCAATCAGAATAGTCCAGGCTACTTGCAGTTACACTGGAAAACAACTCAGAAAGACAAGCATTTGAGAAAAGGCCAGATTATTTTATGTAGTATTTTGCTAAATAAGGTACACACAAGACATCTAGTTTGTATGTATTCCAAAAGGCATCCAGGATAAAGTGTACAAAACAGGCTTAATGCTAAATTACAACCCAGTCTTCTTTCAACCTCAAAGCAGAAAACTACCACAAAGACATAAAATTCAAGTTATTGCTCCAGTTAACCAAAAGGAGATCTTACAAGTTTAACGTAAGGTATGTATATCTCTAACTGTAGGAGCCTGAGATATCCAGCTCTGGAAAGGAGAACTCTATTTAGATTAGAAAATACCCTTTTTTTTTCATGATTATTATGTAGAAGCAAAATCTCTTTGTAGGTTAAGATAATGCTATTAATTCACCATCAGCAAGAAACATACCTTGATTTTTAGCCAGTAGCAGCAGCTAGGTGGCGCCATAGTGCATAGAGCACTGGGCCTGGAGTCAGAAAAGCACATCTTCCTGAGTTCAAATCTGGCCTCAGACACTTCCTGGCTGTGTGACTCTGGCCAAGTCACTTAACCCTGTTTGCCTCAATTTCCTCATCTATAAAATGAGCTGGAGAAGGAAATGGCAAACACTTCCAGTATCTTTGCCAAGAAAACCCCAAATGGGGTCACAAAGAGTGACACAATTGAAATGACTGAACGACAACTCTACTAGCCTGAAAGTAGTAGCTATGGAAAGGAAAGCTCTATTTAGATTGGAAAATTTCCTTTTTCGTGATTATTATCTAGCAGCACAGCCTCTTTGTAGATGAAGATGATACTGTCGATCTGCCATCGGCAAGAAACACACCTTGGCTTTTAGCCAGTAGTGGTAATAACATGCCAGGCTATGAATCCATGGGGCCTTTCCCTTGTAATGAGGGACACGCCGTGAGACACTGTGACAGTGACACAAAACCACCTAGTCCGAAGCTTCATTCGGGGGCCATCACCTCAGGAACACACAGATGCACTGTTCTAGATGGTAAGATAAGGCACATTTATTGTAGTGGTTTCTTCAGAATCAATCAGCAGCTCTGCCACAAGGCCTGGCGATTTCCTGCTAAGTGACAATCATGCAAACTTGGCCTTTTCATCATCAGATAACTCAGAGTGCCACTGTCCTGACCAGGCTTCTCTGGGAACTCTCCGCTTCCACCTTCCACAAGCAGGCCGACTTCTCCTCTGTCGCCCCACAGCACGACCAGTGACGGCGGCCCGGGTGACCTTTGTGTCCGTGTCCACAACCTTGGTACCCACCTGCCCGGCACAGACAAGAGAGCGAGAATTAGAACAAGGCTTCCCAAGGGCAAGTCTCTGTCCATATTTTCTATCCACTTCTGCGTGATGGTTTTCCTTGACAGAAGGTGAGATCCTGGAGGACAGGGACGGTTTCATTCTCTCTATTCCAGCCCTCAGCCCTGTGCCTTGCACACACTGAAGCTTAATGAAAGCTTCTTGTTAACTGAGCAGCAGCAGCCTAGGTCTGGTGGAGGGGAGACCAAGCAGCAGCTTTTGGAAAGAAAGCCCTGCAGAGCAGCTCTCCCTGGAGCCAGCTTTGGCCATGGCACGGCATCAGGCTCAGTGACTGCAGTGGAGATACTGCTAACGACAACTGCTGGCCGAAGCACCTAGAGATTATTGACACGGTACTTTGTCGACGTTGTCACCTGATCTTCAAACAACAGGCTGACATCTGTCCACCAACAACTACATCGGCCAGAACGTTCATCTTAAATAAGTCGGTAGATGAGAAAGATAATGTGGTTTGTTTTGGGGGAAGTCAGGCAGGACTTTCCTAGGGTCATACGGCTGGGTTTGAACTCACATCCTCCTGCCTCCACTGTGCCACCCAGCTGCCCTAAATTAGTTATTGTGAATTATTATTTTAATCATATTATTTAATCAGCACATAGCCAGGAGTATACAGCAGCTAGGACAAGCACTGGAGGTAGCTGAGACCTCAGGGCCTTTCTAGTCCAACTCCCTCATTTTACAGAATAGTCTGAGGCCCAGGGAAAGTGACTTGTCCAAGATCACGTGGACAGGAAGAATCAGAGGCAGGAACAGAACCCAGGTTCTCTGACTGCAGAAGCAGCACTTTTCCCCTTGTACCAAGTTGAATGAAGCCTGGCTGAAAGGGGAATAACAGACAAGGAAAAGTAGAGAGAAAGGAGTGAGAGCAGGAGAGGGGTGGACCTTCTGAAATCTACTTTCTGGTCTACCATTGTGCCAAAGAAATCTGAACAAACCTTCACCCCACATGTCTCCTTTCCACATGCAGAACCACAGGTAGTCTAACTGAATCATTTTTCCCCTCTGACATGGCTCAGCCCTCTAGGGTCCACACCAAAGTCAGGATCAGCTGCCTCACAGCATAACTAGAAGTTCTCAGACAGCTTAAGAGAACCCTTCAGACCGATGTGCACAAGGACATCCTGGGTCTCCTTCCAGACCCACAACTAAGTCAGCTGGCCATCAGATCCAATGGCTGCAGGACAAGGGAAGGGGAGCGTGGGTCCTGCCACACGTGCTCGGGTGCTGGGGCACCTCACCTGCCATGGTTCCTCCACAGGCACACCGGGCACTCTTCTGGCCCCCACTGGAACAAAATGAGCAGCAATGAAAGACGCCCTGGTGCTGGCGGAACTTTCTCTTCACCATCATTTTGTATGGCGAGCCCTACAAAACCATAACTGTGATAGAGGATAGGCTCTCCATTTGGGAAATGATTATCAGTGACAGTTTAATTTCTGCATGAGTTAACTCCAATCCCTGAAGTGAATCCTATATCAAACTACAAGTATCTCTACATCCTATCTGCCCAACACTGCTAAATGCCCAGGAGGATCCCAGTCAACTGTGTAGACTGCTTACTACCACTTTCTAAGGCTCAGATCTAAAATGTCATGTTCTTAGATGTAATGGATAGAAAAACCAGACAACTCCCACCTCAACATCTGTGACAGAACATCTCTGTCCCAAACCAATAATAAGGAACCACACAAATACAAGGTGGGCAAAGTGGGGTGGACACAACCCTCCTTGCTCTTTCAGTAAGGCTGGAAGGCCTCAAGTTTGGGGAATGAGGACCATTCCACCGTTATGGACATCTTGATGCATGGTATCCTGATTGAGAAAGAATGAACTAAACGAAGAAGAGACAGGGTGAGTGCAGGGACTTCTTGTGATCAGTCACATCACCCTGTGCTCCAAGGCACATCCTTTATTCACCACCAGGGCAATCCTGTTACAGATCCTACTTCAACACCTCCAAGGCAGCCAACAAAGGAAGGAGGTGGTCTGGGTATGATGGGAAAAGGACTGTCCTCAGGGGTAAGGGGCTACGATGGTGAAGGTGATCAGGGCAGCCTAACTGCCAGTGGCTGTCTCACTCACCTGGACGTGCTGCCCTCTGACACAGACGCACACGGTGTAGGGGCCGGGCTCCTCAGGGACAAAGGAAATGGTGTAAGTCCCATTGTTGTTATCCTGGACCATCGTCTTAAGAACACTGAATGAGGACAAGAGTTCAAGAAAGACTCATTCCCACGTGCCTGAGCATCATTTATAGAAACTGACTACACTCGGGGGTCCCCAAAGGCCAAGGGAATCACTATATAAGCCTTCCTTGTTGTCAGGAAGCCAAGGAAGGTCACTGGAGAGTTACCACATCTTCCAGTTAATTCCACACCTGAACAAGCAGCATAAACCGGAGCCGACACAGATGCTAGAGCTGTAAGAGACCTCAGCAGCCAGCTACACCACACAGCACGATAGGATGGAAGAACGGGTCCTTAAATCGGATCCTGGACCTGTGTTCGAATCTCATCTCTGACTCCCAGTCACTTAATGATCTTACACACATTAGTTCTCTCTGGTCCTTGATTTCCTCATCTGTAAGAGAGAAGGCCTCGGAGGCCATCCACTTCTAAAGCTATCAACTCCCTAATTTTACAAAGGAGTAACTAAGCTCCAGGGAAGCCACATCAGAGGTAGGAGCTGAACCCAGGCCCACTGAGTCCACAGCAAGTACTCTTCAATATAACACGCTGGATCATCTCAAAGAAAGGCAGAGGGAGGGGCGTTAATTACTGCTGAGATGCCTTTCATCTCCAAAACTGCTTCTGTGATTCTAATCCCTGATAACTGTATCCTATTCTTCCTATTTGAATTTTCTTCCTCTTTGTTCCATCCTTTCCTGGCACACAAACCATGTGCTCTCAATATTATTATGTAGCAAAGCAGATATTCATCAGTCCAGCACAGATTAAAGTCTAGAGACATATGGGTCTCAGAAAGTGCCCCTGTGAGAGCAAACTGCATATGGTCACAAGAACCATGTGACACCTGATGTAACCAATAAAGAATGACCTCCCGCTCTCACCCCCACCTGGACAACATTCTCCTGAGAGGGAAAGGCGTAGCCAATGGGAATCATCACTTTCAAATGGAATTTCCACAGCACCCCTGAGGGCAGCTTTGCCTATATGACGATGGTCACTGCACCTGTATCCCCAAATATTGGGAGTCTGGAGTTTTCAGTTCTAGGTGTGTGTTACCCGTGAAACTTAGCCGTCGGATACCAACCAGTCCTTCTTATTTTTATGGCTGACGCTCACTCGGATGTGCTCTCCTCCTCTGTCCATGTGCTCTCCCAAAATATCTCTGCAGAGCAGGGTGAAAGTGACTTGCTGCTTCTCCCAAGCTTTGTGGATGTCTGAAGAAGCAAGCATTAAGTAAATAATTACTGCAAAAGAACAAATTTAAAGGACTGAAAGTACTTTAGTAGGCAGCAGTTTACTCTACAGCCTTTAGAGAAAAAAAAATAATTTACCTTTGCCTCATCCTGCCTTCTCAGCCTGCTCTACGGCCATTCTTTCTACCCTGTCACTGAGTAACTGCCAGAGAAAGCAGTACCCCTAGTTACTTGTCATGCAGCAGCTGGTTTTAGGCCATGTGCCCTAGAAGATACCTCAAGCCCACTCCCAAGACTGAACCAGAGATTTTGGACAATGAGAACCTCCAGGCATCCTCTAGAAAGACCGGTCACCCGGTGACCCCATAGGAATCCTGAACCGGAGCCATACCCAGAGTCAGCAAATGAACCCTAAGGGCAATTATGAGCTTTCTGAGGCAGCTACAGTTTCAATCCAAACTCACGTGGCCCCAGGACCCACCACTGCCAACTGCAAAACAGACCAGACCACTCAGCATTTGGATCTGGCCGCTGTTGTCCTTTTATGGGATTATTGGTAAAATAAGAGAGCCGTAAGGAATCACCTAAAGATCGCTTAGTGCAGCACTTTAATAGAAGAAGAAATTGAGACCCCAAGAAATCAAAGGACCAGCGCGCCCCAAATTAATGTGCTTCCCTTCCGGAAGGGCTAAAGTGTAATAGGAACAGAAGAATTGAGAAAAGGCTCCTTTCTGACTCCTTACCTTAATCATTATTGTTCTCATTCGGGGTCTGTCTTGGGATAGAGAGGAGATTTAGGCCATGGGAAAAACAAAGTGAATTTGGAATCAAAATTCCATTTGTGTAGAAAAGGAGGAGGAAGACATAGCATCTAAATTATGCCTAAATCATAGAAGAAAAGGGTGGCTCACTGAACAAGAAGGAAGGAATCCTTCTGGAAGCTGTAGTCCTCAGAAGGAACTGGGCACCCTGTGTAACACAAACTGCAAGGAAGCGCCAGCAGCCTGGTTCCTTACTTAGACTGCACAAGAGCACAGTTCTCTGGTCCCAGCCCTCTCCCTCCTGGGATTCTGGTCACTGGAGAAAATCCCAGAGGAATATGGCCCAAATCAGCTTTCCCCTGGGGGATCCCCTATGGATCACCCTAAATGTTACTGCTGGCCTGCTAACCGCAGATAGGGATTGGCTTGGGCTACCCCACAGGCTGCTGGGTGACCCCAAATGTTTCCAGTATCCTATGGAAGAGATTTTCCTAAAAAAAGGATGACTCAGGGACATGATTGAGTTGTAAAACAGAAGTTTTCAAACATACAGGAGATTGAATTTTTATTCCCAATTCTGTCCCTAACTAGTTGTGATCTTGGACAAATCAAGTCACCACTCTTGGGCTTCACCGTCTTCATCTGGAAAATGACAAGGCTCCTTCTAGCTCTAGCCCAACCTGACTTTAAGGACAGAATCCAGGAAAAAGGATTCTGTTATTCCAAATGGAATTTCCAGAATTCCCCCTTTCTCTCCTTGTCTCCCCTGCTTCCGCTGGGAGCCTGCTCTAACATGTAACATGTGGGCACTACAAGGTACAGCATGACTGCTGAGGCACTGCGGTCACCTCCTCTGCCTCTCATACCTGTCCATTTTAGAGAAATAAGGCACAGTCTCTGAGTAGCTGGGCAACTGTTACTTTCCTCAAGTGAAAAAATTTACGCCTCATGACCTTTTAAAGAAGGTCTATAAAATGTCTCCCTCTGACTCCCATGGTAACGAGATAAGAAGGATGTAGGTGTCCAGTTTCTCAAATGGGATCCCCTGTGCCTCAGTAAACTGACCAGAAGGGAAATGCTCTCAAGGTGAGTACTGGGCCATGACCTGCAGGATAAGAAGAGTCCATCCCCAAAGACATGAGATGAATAAGAAATGCTTCCCTACCTTCCCCTTGGAGAAGGCACTTGGCCGGATCAACCCCTTTCGTGAGAATGGCCCCAAACACTTCATAGCCACCACACTGGCCAGCCTTCTCCTGTGGGGAGAAACAGATGCCGTCGTCCTCCCCGGGGCCAACATTGTAGTCGGCTTTCTTGAGTTTCTTCAGCCTGCTCGCCACAACCCCCTTGGTGATAAGGATCTCCAGGTCGGAGCCATTACTCAGCAGGCGTTCGGTGAACTCGACTCCGGTCCTCAGGTCTGCCAGCAGCTGCTCCACCTGGAGCTTCTGGAGGTGCAGAGAGTTCTCCTTCTGGATCCGGAGGTCTTCCAATTGCTTCAGCAACTGATCGCGGTGTTCTCTGATAGCCGTGATGTAGCCATCACAAAATTCCTGGACGTCGGCGGACAGCGCATCCATGCGGCTCCGGAGGGCACTGCCCATACCCTCGATCTGGGCCAGCGCTCTTTCTAAGGTGTCCATGTGGGGCTGGGTGCTGTGAAGGAGCTCCCACATGGAGTTCCCATGCTTGTGGATAACGTTGTTTATCAAGTCATAGGTGTGCTCCCTATGGTCACCTAGCACACAGTCCCGGCACACTGGCTGGTCACACTGCTCACAGAATAGGTTCAGCTCCTTGGCACGGTGGATGGAACACATAATTGGCCTCTTAATCTGGCTATATCCTTTTGGGTCCTTCATGGGCATGACAGAGTGGGAAGTAGTTTTTTTTTGCCTCCTAGGTTAAACAGACAGGGACAAGATTAGATGGAGATTATGACTCAGCAGAATGCATGGTGGCTATGCAATGTAGGGGGTTATAGGTTCTAAGCCCGCTTCTGCCATTTCTTTGGGTCAAATTATTCAAGGTTTCTGATTCTATGAAAAAATAAAATCACTGTACCGACTTGTGATCAGACATAAGCGTGTAGGAGCAGCCGGTAAAAAAAAGGACGCAAGGTAGTTTACTAAATGAATGAATATACCAAGTGCCACAGAAATAGTGACCACAGAATCTCGGAGGCAGAAGGCACCTCAGAAGCTATCTAGTCTAATCAATACCTGATTAGGAACCCCTTCTACCATATAGCTGACAAGTAGTCATCCAGCCTTTATTTGAAAATCTTCTGGAAAGGGAACCCATTACCTTCCAAGATGGCCCCATTCCATTCTCAGATACTGATTAGGAAACGTTTCCTTCCAATATGCTTAAATATGTCTCCCTGCCACTACTATTAATCAAAAGCCATTAAAACTCCATTGACAACCAGCAGAGATTCCATAACACAGCTTACAGACAAGTTCTAAATTAGGTCCATGGTTTTCTTAGAATGCTAAAATCTAGGCAATTTCAGCTGTAGGACCTGACCCCCCAAATCTCTGAGCATCTAAGAAAAAAGCCACCTTAAGACACAAAAGGGTAGTAAATTCCGAAAGTTCACAGCAAATTAAAAAGGGAATTGTACCCCTCTGCCTATATCTGAACAAACTGAAACAAGAGCCTGCAGAATGATTTACCCTTTGGCAAACAGGAGAGGAGCTCTCCAGTGAAACTCTACACTAGGACATGGAAAATCCACTAAATAAATGACTCAGCAGTGACCCTGCAAGGGAACTGAATTATAGAGTAGCTTGTGCGGAATCAGTCCAGATAAAGTTCAGGTATAAGGCTTTGGAAGGGCATTTTCTCCAGATAGCAGCTACTCCCCCAAATCAGCCATGAAAGTTTTCCCTGTTCTGCAGCCACCCCTGATGTCTGGCTGCTCCTAACTCAGAGAGCTCCACTACTTCCAAACACTTAAAATGGACATCAGAAGAATACAAGGACAGCCCCCAGTAGTCAGTGGCATCTTTGACACAAGCTGTCTTCTTTCGGCTTCCTGATGAAAAAGGTCCAGCTCAGTGACCCATCCTAAATAAACAAAACCATCAGCATCTGGGAATCCATTTAAGGTAAAACAAGCCTGATCCTGTGCTAGAAGGGGGGAGGGAGGAGCTTGTGGAAAGTCACCCCAGTGGGACCTGCTGTCAGCTGCCTATTTGACAGAGACTATTAAGGATCATCTCACAACTGCAGATTAAAAAACAAGAAGAAATACTATTCCTCTGATGGCCCTACTAAGAAAAAAAATCACGGACAAGCACCTTGGGTAGCCGTATAACCACTGTGAGCAGCTGCATGGCACAGTGGAAAGAGCACCAGACCCAGGGGCAGGAAGACCTGAGTTCAAATATGAACTCAGGCACTCGCTAGCTGTGTGACCCTGGACAAGTCACTTATCCCTGTTTGCCTCACTCTCCTCATCTGTAAAATGAGCTGGAGAAGGAAACAGCAAACCACTCCAGTACTGTTGCCAAGAAAACCCCAAATGGGGTCGTGAAGAATTGGATGTGACTGAAATGACTCAACAACACTGTGTGGGTGGTGGGGGGGGGGGAAGGGTGTCCCCTCGGGGGCACAGAAATATCTAGGAGTTGGTTTGCCCACCAAATACTAAGACATCCAGAAGCAACCCTGCACTTGTTGCCAGCACACAGTGGCCTACCTCAACGAGCAACAAGCCTTCCAATGCCCGGCACAACTTCTGACCAAGTGGCCTTCTTTTAACGTAAATGCTGAGAGGCCCTCAGAACCTCTCTGAGCATAGTGCAGTGTTTTAATAGTCCTGCATTCTGGTCCCGGGCCTACTACTTATTACCTGTGTGGTCTTAAGCAAGTCATTTCCCCTCTCTGGATTTCAGTTTCCTCAGTCTACAAAATGACAAATTTTGACGGATTTTTCTTTTTTGTCTGACACAGTGTTGTCTTCTATGTAGTCGGTATTTAGTGATCACTGAACTGAATTGGGGTCCACAAGAGAGATTAGTGTTTACTTCCACTCTATTAGAGAAAGGTGTCCTTTCCATAGTGAATCTCTACCCCAGGACTCTGTGCCCCTCCACTTAGCCCCAGGACAAACGGGCCGAACCCTTCTTTACCTATGAGCCTGGCTGCAGAACTGGCAGAGATTCACCTTGCAGGTGAGACATCGGCTCTCCACTTCCCTGTCACTGCACAGATCACACACCACACCTGGAGTGTCCTCCTGCAGATTTTGTAGCAGCACCTCATCTATAGCCAGGTGGTCCATGGTTAAGGCCTTCACTCCTCCAGGAGGCAGATCAACCTCTGTATCACAGACTGGACAGAGGATGCTAAGCTGTGGCTCCAGCTGTTGGGGCTGCTTATCCCAGAGCCTTGCACCCTCTGAGGTTTTTCCTGGGTCTAGTGGTCGCAACACCAGGACAGAGAAGGGCTCCAACTGTTCTAGGCAGGTCGTGCAAAACGTGTGCAAGCATGGCAAGATCCTGGGGACTTTAAAAAGCTCCATGCACATTGGACAGCGAGTCCTGCCTAGGCCTCCAAGTGCAGGAGGGCTAGAGATCTGCATCCCAGCCCCCTGGGGCGCCTGCTCCGCCTCTCTTTCTGACATTTCCCGAGGTTTTTCCAAAACGTGCCTACGATGAAGCAACAGAGGGGTTAGGATCACCCCAATAGGGGAATGCCTTCCAAGTCACACATCTAATAGACAGACAGAGGGGCAAAAACATAAGGGGGAAAGAAAAAACAATTCCCCAACACCTGGAGATGACGTCTGGAGCATGCAATTTACCAATTTGGATATTACCCACCTGACCCAGGGAAGCCTCCCTCCACCCCAAGCCCTTTCACTGTGCTTCAATTCTACCTACTAAGTAGCTGGGCAGTGGGGGACTCATTACATCTCCAGGCCCCCTCCCCAGGCATCTGCTACGCCCCGCCACTCAAGGATCCAGCCTCAACGTGATCCTCCTACACGCACGCGCCCTTCTCCCCAGGAGCACGCGCCACCCTCCAACTCGCTCCTCCCCTCCCCACCCCATTCCCTGTCACGTGCCAACCTCCAGCACACTCCCCGCCCCCTTCCCTCTAGTAGTCAGCGCCCGACGCTTGTACCCCGAGGCTCAGTTTGTTCAGCCTCCTTCTCCTCTCTCCTCCTCTTCCTCTCTCTACACCAAAACGCCAAAACCAACCCCGCCGCCTCCTCCTCTTCCTCAGATGAGTCCAATCACCATCCTGGAAAGGCGGCCCTTGCCTCACGCACCCCGCCACGCCCCCATTCAGAGTGACACTGATCTTTACCAATCACCATTGGACCATTCCAGTCTTCACCAATCACTTAACGGAGAGGGCGGCACTAAAGTGGAGGAAGTAGGTAAGTGGACCTCCGTAGGAAGGATTTACTAAGGGGATAGGACGGGATGAGGGGGGTGGTACCGGTTAGAGGTCAAGCAGGAGTCACCCTTTTACGGGCAACTATCTCTTATACCTCTGAGGTAACCGAAAAGTTCTCCCAATAGCTTTTAAAAAATCAAACCTTGGGGAAGGATAACAATAGAAACAGGAAGTTCTGCCTCTTGACCTTCGGATTGGTTGTTGGTGATGTCAATTAAATTCTGTGAGCCCCGGAGCCCCAAGGGATTCTGGGAGATGTAGTTTCTTCTCAGCCAGACTATTTTTCCTTCTCACTTCTAGTGCTTTTCGAAAACGCGAGTGTTGTCACCCTGAAGTTGATGCTCTTCTTTCCCCTCCCACATTTTTTCTGGTGATACGATCCCCCTGCTCAGGGCTAGAAAAATCAGAGGACTGGAAGGGACAGAGGTCTTTTTCGATTCTGCAGGTTTTAGGAGCTTGTTGCCCTAGATCTCTTACCCTCACTCTCCCCATTGTGTTCCCATATAGGTCTCCCCACCTGTCTGATAGGAAAGGGGGCCAACAACCTGGCACTCACTGGGGACCCTTTGCCCCTAAATCTTGGTGTGTGACCTTGGGCGAGTCACCCAATGTCCATGGAGCCTCTTTCCTCATTTTTAAAATTTGGAGGTTGGATCATGTGGACGCTTAAGGTACCTTCCAGCTCTGACCTTCTGTGATTTCATAATTCCATGCCACCATCACCGTACAACAGTCTTTAGTTTTGTGACTCAACAAATATTCATTGAGGACCTACTATGTGCCTCGTGGGCTGGGGTACATCTAAGCAGGAAGTAGCAAAGAGGTGTAAGACAAGAATTCCTTGAGCTCATTATTTAGTTGGGGGGATGAGATTAACAGATAGGATATTTATTCAGTACTGTCTACCTGGAAGGCATTGATGAGAGGAGATGAAAGAAGATAAAATTCAATCTACTTCAGCCCTATACTGGCAAAGCCATACCTTTGATTTTGTGATCAGCACTTTGCTCACTTTCCCATTGTGCTATTCTTGATATCTTCTAAATCTTATCTTCATCTTCATCTCCACTTCTGGTCCCTTTACTCTTTTCCCTGTTTCCACAGTCCATCAACTCCCTTCTGACTTTGCTTTCTTTTCTATCTAGTTTGGACTCAAGGCATCCATCTCAGGATGAGTTGTCCCTTCTTCTGACTTTTTACTAGGCTTACCATTCTAATCATTGGGTTACACCTTTTGTTTGCATACTCTAAACATGGGCATTTCTGATTTGCTAGAAAAAAAATTATGAAACCATGCTGACTGAGTCTAAAACAATTTCATGCTATTATACTTCAACCAGGTCCTCATTGCTACTTGACAATTTTTTTTATTTCTTATTTTCTTCCACTAGAATGTAAGCTCCTTGAGGGCAATCTTGTTTCATTTTTGCCTTAATGTCCTTAGCACTTTGCACATATTATGTACTTAAATCCTTACTATGTTCCCCACGGCAGCTATTTTAACTCATTAAGTTCCTAATTATCTCTATTACCCTATAATATAATCCTACTCCTTGCCTTTTTAAAAAAATCTGCAAGTCCATAGGCATTGTGAGTTTCATATATGTACTTCATCTACTAATGAAATGATCTGCACCTTCTCTGAATATTAGTCTTAGTAATTTGCCAGAGGACTCCCAGAGTTTAAGTGACATGCCCAGGGTCACAAGCCACTAAATGTCAGATACAAGACTTATGCAGGTCTTCCTTACTCAGAAACCAGCATTCTATGTTGCTTCTTGTATCTTAATTTACTAAAAGTAATCCAGGTCATCAGACACAATCTCTACTGTTTACCTCTCTGTCTCAAAATATCTGTGACTGTTCCCCATCCTTTGCATCTCAGGAGGCCTTTCCTCCCATAGAAAGGTTACCCTTCTGCCTGTGTTCTGGATCCCATCCATGTTTTGCTGTCCTCCTGTGACCTTAGTCCATTATCCCCTTCTGTCCACCATCTTTTTCAATCTCTTTCTCTCCGTAATCTGTTCCTCTCTATCCATTCTACCTACAAATATGCTCGGGCTTTCCCATTCCTTAAAGTTTTCCTTGACTTTGTTATGCCTTCCAGGTATGTTCTCTCTTTCTGAAACATTCAAAAGTAGCAGAGTGGAAAGAGTCTTGGAGTCTGCCTTTGGGAAGTCACTTCAGATCTTTGGCTCCTCATCTGTAAAGTGAGGAAGTTCAATTAGAATCTAGTTATTAGATGATTCTCAATGATTCTGTGACCTGATTTCTCTGCGTTTAATTCTTCCATTTCCTAAATATCCACTGGCTGCTTTTCCTAATACTCTACTGAAGTATTTTCTCCAAAATATCTAGTAATCTCCTAATTACCAAATATAGTGACCTTTTATCAGTCCTCATTTTTTAAATTTATCTGTAATATTCATCTTCATTAGCAATTTCCTCTCCTTGAAATTCTCTATTCTCTCAGCTTTCAAGATACCATTATTTAATCAAAAAGCATTTATTAAATGTCTATCATGTGTCAGGCTGTGCCAAGAGCTGGGCATACATACACAAAAATGAAATAGTCCCTGCCCTCAAAGAGCCTACATTTTATTGAGGGAGATAATGTGTACATGCATATGTATATCTATACACACACACACACACACACACGCACACACACACACACACATATGAAAGCGTAAAATACGTACAAAATAAACACAGTCTCATTTTGGAGGGGAGGCATCACTGGCTGGGGGAATCACTACCTGCTCCTGGTCTCCTTCTTACCTTCTCTTTCTCCTATGCTGCTTTCTTCTACTTCTACTTCCTCTTCCTGTCTCCTAAATGTGTGTGTCCTCCAAGGCATGCTTTCCCTGAGAGATTTCATTCATTGCCACAGTTTTCACTATCACTCCTATGCGGGTAATTCCCACATCTATCCTTGTCCTTAAATCAGGCATCTTGTCTGCCAGACATCTTCACCTAGATCACACAGTCATGGATTTAGAAGTGGAAGGGACCTTAGAGGTCATCTAGTTCAATCTTCTCATTTTATAGATGAAGAAAGAGAACAGAAGAGTAATGTTACTTTGCCCAGGAGGTCAACAAGTAGACAGGAGATCTTGTCAGACAGGGTTTTGAACCAAGGTCTTCTGACTCCTAATGTAGTATATTTTTACCACTGCGCCATGCTGCTTCTTCCTGACTTCCATCGCCTGTAGAACTGAGCCTGTCTAAAAGCTAACACTGTCTTTTACCTCAAGCTGTTTGTCCAAAGTGTACCTTCATTCTTCCAGTCATTCAGGCTCCTGAAACCTTGGAGTCATTCTTGACTCTCATCATCTGCATGTAGTTAGCAAGTCTTTTCTTTCTTTCTTCTTCAGGTCTCTTTCATTCATCTGTTCCTTTCCTGCTGCCACTAATCTTGTTCACTCTCTCATCACATCATATCTCCTTTTGCAGTAACTTCCCAACTCATTTCCCTGCTTCTGATTTTTTTCTGATCAATTTATCCTATATGTGATTTAAAAAAATTCCTTTTGCACAAGTAAACATGCCATCATTCAAAAACCTTCAGTGACTTCTTATTGCTTGTAAGATGTATACTCCTTAGCTTATTTAATGTTCAGAATCCACTACAATCTGATTTTTACCTACTTCCTCAGTCTTATTTCCTACTGCTCTCCAAACCTTGCACTTCAACTAAACCAGTCTGCTCATTGCTTTTTGAAACCTGTTATGTACATGTCTGGAATGTTCTTCTAACTGGACATTCCCTTCTCCTCCCCCTCTCCCCATCTCTGCATTTCTAAATCCTATCATTCCTTCAAAATCTGTCTCTAGACCCACTTCCTCCATGAAGACTTCCCTAACCACCTCACCCTCTTTGATGATCAATGCCTTTTCTCTTCTGTACCACTTGGTACTTAGCATGTGATAGTGTGTTCTATCATCATCATCATTATTAATATTAATAATGTGTTCTATTTTCCCAACTAGATTGTAAACGCTTTAAGGGCTAGGACTATAACTTAGACCTCTTTTTATCTCCTATGCCTAACATGTAGTAACCCTACATGTAGCATCGGTTCCACAAATCTCTGTTGTTGATGATGCAATGATGATGCCAGTAATGATAACAAGAAACTGTCAGTGAACAATCTCTGCCCCTATGTGATCTGGTGCTGAGAGCTGGCATGTGAAGTTTCAGGGAGGAGAGAGACCGTGTAGGAGGTGCCAAAGGTGTGTGTGTGAAGCTCCTGGACAATTCCTTGCCCTGATAGTTTCACCTTTCTAGTGACCCCATGATGCCACTTCTCTCTTTGGGACCCGGACAGTAAGCATCAAGGGGAGAAATGGGGGAGGGGGGGGAAACAATGGATAAGCCAATTGAAGATGTTGTAGACAGTGGAGTTAAAGACAGGAAAGCCCAAGTCATTCCTTTTCATTGTTTTTCAGCAATGTCAGCAATGCCAAACGTTGAGTTTGTAGATGGATAGAAAGGGAACATTTGAATTATGAAGAGGAAGACCGTGTTTCATTTCTAGGAGAGTATTTCATTCACCAGAGTATTTATTAAGACTATGTTAAGTGCTAGGTGCTAGGGGAGATAGTAATATAAATAAAATAAAGTTCCTGCCCATAAAGAGATTATAGTCTCTAAGAGGTTATTAACCACACATAGATGATTTATAATACAAATTGAACTATAATTAATAAAAGGAATACATAGTCCTAGAGATCAGTGAAGGTGAGTTCACTTTAAGTTTGTGGTGGAGTGTGGAGATTAGGGTTAGGGTGTCAGTAAGGAGAGAATGGAGGGATAACAACATTAAGGGACGCTGACATTTGCCTGGAGAAAATGTGTTTAAAGGAGCAGTTTGAGAAAGAGGATGAAAACCAGGAAGAGTGTGGTGTTGTTGACGCCAGAGCAGAGTATGGAGGAAGGTCTGGGAAGAGAAGAGTTAAGAAAAGACCACCGGATTTATTGCTGGTCACCGGTGAGAGGTGGGCTCAGGGACTGCTTTTTCTCCACTTGTTCTCATCCTCCCATTCTTGTCTCTGTTTTTGTTCATGCTTTCCCCATTCCCAGAATGGATTCCTCTCTCAGCTAGGTGGTACAGTGGGTTAGAGTGCTGGACCTGGAGTTAGGAAGATCTCAATTCTCAGACAGTAGCTTTGTGATCCTGGCCAAATTGCTTGACCTCTGTCTGCCTTAGCTAACTCATCTGTAAAATGGGTATTAGTAATATAGGATTTACCTCCTAGGGTTGTTCTGAGGATAAAATTAGATGATATTTTAAAAGTACTTTTGCAAACTTAAAGCACTCTATGAATTCTAGCTGCTATTATTATTATTGTTATCATCCTCATCATCATCCTGTTTTCTCAGAGGAGAAGAAACTAAGAGACTGAATCAGGATCAGACCTAATATTGTTACATGGCTAGTATATAAGGAAAAGTCCAGGGACTGAGGAAGGTAACCCTCTCTGAAATTTTTGGTTCAAGGTCCAGAGTTCAGACTTGTCTCACTGGCAAATCTTGCTGTGATATAGCTATAAACGGCTTCCCAGCTTTGACAGCCTTCCCTTTGAGACTGAGGTGTTGCTCTAAGAGCTGTTTCCCAGAAAACCCCTCT